GTAAAACTGGGAAAAAAGATACTATTTTGCATTGGGAATGGGGCCGAATATCGGCCCCAAATCTGGCAGATCAAGAGCCCTGGATATACCAGAAAACTTAAATGTTAACTGTAATGTCAGGTAAAATTGTTTTACAAAGTGTATTGTCTGTGACATTTCATCATCAAAACACTAAATATATTGCATAATAGAAAGCTGTAATGAAGACACTAAATTGTGTCTGGTTTTCTGTGCCTCCCACAATACACGCTTCTTATACTCCCATGTGTTAAATGTAAAAAGGTCATTCTTGTATATTTAGAGTTTTCTTGATATATAAAGCTAAGAATAAAATATATCAGTCACATTTGAGAGTTATTCATCAGAAATGATAGATGCTAAACCGCATCAAACAATGTAGCAAACCTTGGCTAAAATTGGTCATAATAATCACAGCACAATACCTTGTCAGCCATCTTTTGCAACATGGTAGTGAAGACGCACATTAAACAGCCAGAAACTGATCTGTGATAAGTGCCTCTAATATGATGTCATGAAACATATACTAAAGTCTTAATACAAAGTAATCACTTTTATAACAAAATTTACACAAGCGCTAAAGACTTGATTTCTTTAAAACATGTTCAGAGGTTTTTTCACTACATTTGCTAGTACCAGGACACCATCCATTTCCGCGAGAATATACACAACCACATGGCAGAATATACAAGTTAACGCCATTCTAAGTATAACTTTGAAGTAACATTTATATTGTAAATTTGTGATGTAAATATTTCATAATATTACAAAATGTTTTGGTAGTTATATCCTTGTTTGAGAAACTTTCAATTGATATAATTAATGCTTCATTCAACAAACAAGATTCGGAGATAATTTTAAAAGGAACAAATATTTCATGATGCCAAATTTCTCTTCACATGTAGCTTATCAGTATTTGGACCTATTCTCAATTGCTTACTATGTTTTAAAAGGTTCCCCAGAGACATCAAATTTCCCAAAACCTTTAAATCAGGTTATCTTTTATTCAAGAAAACAAAATTTCTGCAATATCAATATATCCTACTTTTCACATGATTCCCACTTTTATGGCACAAAAGATAAAAAAATATGACTTCCTACTTGGTGGCAATTAAAAACAAAAGGCCAATGGGCCTTAACGGTCATCTGACATAAAATAAAAGATTTCAAATTTTGAACTATTTCACCTGGATTTAAGAATCTCGGGCACTCAACCTGCACCTTGAAAATGGGTTAAGGTTATTCATTTCAACAAACTTTGTAAACCTTTGTAATCCCAGCATGCTACAGGCCAAATATCATCACCCTGGGTGTTCTGGTTATTCAGAGGATGTTTGAAGTAACAAACTTTGGTCAGGACCATGTAATGATCATTTCATGCAAGTTTTGGCTCAATTGCACTGGTGGAACTTGAGAAGAAGTCGAAAATGTGTTTTCAATATGGCGGCCATCTTGGATTTCGGACCAACCCGAAGTTAACAAACTTTGGTCAAGTTCATGTCACAATCTTTTCAGGTAAGTTTCAGCTCAATGAGACTTGTAGAACTTAAGAAGAAGTTGAAAATGTTTATGGCAGATGACAAACCCTTCGGGTCAGATGACCCGAAGCAATGGTCATGAAAAAATACTGGACGGTCTACATTATAATGTTTCATTCACTGAAGGCCTTCCTGCGTATGATACATTTGTATCACTGTCGCATGTCTGACGTATCTCAAGTGTTTCAGTTTTCCAGCAAGTTTCTGTCATCAATATTGCAATCAACAGTAACAGAAAAACACAGGTGTCCGAGGATTTTTCTCTTGAACTGTTTTGAAAACCTAATGATGTAGAGTTGCATATGATGCTACTATGCTTAATGCAACAGCACCAGGTTGTTTCTCACACATTACTTTGGTCTAGTAACATCCAAGGAGTTCAGACTCTAAAACCCAGATGACTGAAGTATCATTTCTCAGTTCATCTACTGATTGAAAGTGATGATTGCAGTTGCAAAGAACAGTTTGATAGTTTCTTAAAAGTATTTGTGAAGGAAGGAGTACTATATTGATATTGGTGCTGGGAATCAGTCAAATATTAGAGTTTCATCATCAATCAGTTAACAGTTGATATATGGGTCAAAATGAAGATAGGTTAAAAAGAAGTGACGTAACCTGTAGTAGTTCCATCGCTTATAATTAGTATAATTAAGCAGCTGAATCAGGGCTTGTAAACTATTGTAGCAAGTCTTACTTATTTCGTTTCATCAATAAATTAATCAAATTGATGAAGAATCAAATGTTAGAATAATCCATAGATATCTATTGCAGAACAAATTTCCAGAGTCTCTGACTTTTGTAAGTTATTTGTAAAGCAGTAAATAAAACATTTCAATATACATGATCATAAAATGTTGCTTTTTCTACATGATGCTTGAATGTGGAAATGATTTCAAATGGAAATTTACCTAAAGAAATGATGGACATAATCTTGGATAATTTGACAGAGTAATATAAACAAGAAATGTATGCATATTATGGAATAACAAGCATGATCTTGCATAAACTAAATTGATTATTGGATTGAACTTTTGTCAAATCTAATCAATGTTTCTAGTTATTGATCAGTGATTAGTTTACCTACAAATCCCCTGACAAAAGCGTCAACCTCGATGACAGAAAACAGAGCTATCTGAGATATTGTATTACCTAAATCACTTTACTCTTGCATTGTCGCCAACTCTTTTGATTTCATAAAGTCAACCTGATATTGGCCACATAATGACTTCCTTAAAGTGTGAAGAATCACCTCATATTTCTTTACTTTTAATTAGATTTTATAAAATTTTACAATTTTTTTTGGAAAACGTAGTCAAAAGGGTATTAAAACAGCCTAGAATGTCATCTAAATACATTACAGTATGATAACTCTACAATAAATTGATTACAAGACCTTTTTCCGTTGATGATCCTTAATAAAACACTTAGCCACACTTGACATTAAGACTTTTACCAGATATTAAATGACTGGAGGTTAGTGAATCTGCTTTTGGAGAGGACATAACTGTTTCCTATTTTGATAGGTAACCAGGTACTTATTTTGCAAAACTGGTAACTGCCTCACGCCGCCCCATGTCTGGTTTCTGGTAAATGCCCTCTTATATAACCTGTTACTTGCTTGCTTTTTAGTGCATAAAATCCCCACATTATGAAATGCAAATAAGCACTGATTGGGAAACCACTAATTAATATCATGAAGTCTTTGTGTGTAAACATTAATCAGACTTGTAAACAGATTCATCGCTTCCAGGTACATGCAGATGAGTAAACGTCAGGCTTAGTCATGCAACAGTTTGTGACCAAAGTAATGTGTATGTAAAGTTATTTACAGTAATTTGCTGAATTCTATAAATACATCAGAGGTCCCTACAGTAAAAGTGAATGAGGTCAATGCTTCCTCATTTATAGGTCATGAGAAAGTGTCATCTGTCTGTACAACAAAAAGTAAATTTCTACATTGTACATCCAACATAAGTATGTACAGGAAATTCATAGTTGTGTTTAAAGTGTAAGAACATAAGTTACAACATGTTTGTCAAGGCTGCAGAGCTTTTTATTGTTTCTTCAGTCTCAAGTTCTGAAATACAAATATTTCTGGCTTCAAGACTACAGGTACATCTGCCTGGAGTGGTACACATTTTTCATCAGGGTCGGTTTAATTCTGACCCCTAACTGGTTACCCAGTCACTACTGACAGCCCTAAACTTTTATATCTTTGAATTTTTTATAAGTTTACAAAATCTACACTTACATAATCTTCTCTAGAGCAATGATTTTTGGGACTCGCACCTGAGTCCTGCAATTTTCCTGTGGGGCCCAATCAAATTTTGAGAATTCACTATATCTCTAAGTATCATGACTCATCCAAATTTTGGAATTGGTATTCTGGATTTGCCGAAAAAATCCTACAAAAATTACTACTTGAGTGCATTGCACTTCTATAACCTACATTTGTCTCAAACATGTTGGATATGTATAAGCCTTCATTTGCCTATTTTCATAGATCACAATTAGGAAAAAAATATTATGCCAAATATGTACATTGTAACAACCTCATGTATGTATGGAATACTATCAACTTAATCGGATTTCAGTTTTGGCTTCAAATTTATCTGTGTCAAAGTTTCTAACTTTGTATATATGATAGGATTGTAACAGGTGAAAATTCTAGTCCCATGTGATGATACCCTCAATTGTTCATATCCTGATTTATAAGGTTTATTTCAAATGTATGTTACTGTTGATTCTCCTTTCAATATGAACCTTCAAAGGCACATATTATGGGACTGCTGGAAATCCCTGTACGTCAGTCTGTATACTTAAGTATACAAATGATTTGCTACCTAACTGGTCTGATGAAGATGACAGTGATAACATAAATGGACCCATAGGTGTACAGACCAGACACCTCTTTAGGTTCTTACAAATTAATGTTTTCTGAAAAAATCATATTCTTGGGTGTCTGTACCAACTTTCCAACTAACCAAAATGGAAACAATTGTTTTGCAATGAGTTTATGTTAATTGAAAGTTATTGTAAAAAATGAAAAGTATACGAATTTCAAACAAAATCAAGTAAACCTCTAGCAAAATGAAAAATGAAATTGTCAATACATTCTGATGGTAGCCTGTGAATTTCCAAATTGTACCGAATTCAACTTTAATATTGACTGCGAGCAATGGTGAAAGAAAACACGCTAAACAGCTTGTATTTATATATAGTGTACACCGTCATGTTCTGTGTTTGTCCAGCACAAGCCATGCTGCCCTCACCCACGTGAGTCTATGAAACTCTTTCTTAACATGTTATCTGTGTTTCCATCAGCAACAATAGAAGTCAACACATGTACATCACTGCAGTGGAGAGACTGTACCAAGAGGGTGGTGTTCGTATATTCCAAAATTACAATTTCAAATCACTAATAAATGAATAAAAACAGCTCACCTTCATGACACTGAATCACGTCTAAGTGTCTGTCCATGGCCGCTGGTATATTATCCATCACTGCTCAACCGAAACCTATTTTTAACACCGGAAAGAAATTTTCAGAGGTCGACCATGTGTATTCTAACCAATACCGGAAGCCCGCGCGAAGACTCAAATGTCGTTTCTGCGCAGAATCAAACATCAATTTGCGACAATCTTTTTGATATTATTGAAATATTTATATCACCAGTGGAACCTACTTGTCTGCATAAAGATTAACAAACATATGTATGTTGCAATAAGATGGGAATTTCGTTCGGAAATGAAAAATAATGCATTGGAACATTTTATTGTCGTTAAGCTTGACAGAGTTATGTCCCCTAGACCATTAAGTTGAAAGAGGCACGGTGTGGGGAATGTCGCTTGTCAAAACGCTGTTTACTTTTATATAGTATCCACATGAAGAATTCCGGTTTTTATCTATACAAGATTGATATGGTAATTTGTTAAGAGACAACTTCACGCGTCAAATTACATTGAAACTAAAATATTGCAAATGCTGATTTAGACTTAAGTGTTTCTCATAAGATGTTTCATTTGAAAGAACTGTAGTAAAACAGTGTGAACAGTCGCATACAAGATGTATGTGTATGTGGTAACTTTTATTTTTCGTAATAAAAGCAAAAATCTATTACATTGTATATACGTTTAGTCTTATAGTGAGCGGACAATTGTAACACTGTCGAAAACTTTAAGAACATTAAATAGATTGTGAAATACTTGAGTAATTATTTGTGTGATAATTTCTTAGTAATGGATTTAGAATTAGAAATTTGATTTTCTATCTCTGTTCGTTCTGCTTTCCATCAAATTATAAAAATCCATGTCACATTATAAGTGATAATATTGAAATAATGCGTACAGTTTTCAGTTCTTTAATCATGATTTCTAAAGAATTTTCGATCGTATGTGAACCGTTGACCTGACTAAAATTATTAGAGAATGGTACACGTGAAATCTTCCGGGCTGATTCAACAATCAAAAATAGCAATTATTGTTGGAAATCAAGTTGAAACTATATTCCAATCAAAATTTCGCTCTCGTTTAATTTTCTCCTTTTTCGTCCATGAACAGGGAGAGAGAATTTAGGTATACCTCTTTTTATGTATCCTCAATAGGCGAAAATAGCATGAGGCGAATATATCCCGGTATATACAGGATTCAGAAATTGTTACAATGACCCAACCCTGAAATTCCATTCTGATCTCCCAGAGTTACTGCCCTTCGTTTTCTGTCTGTCTGATGGTATAGCGATAAGCTTGAGACCGAGATCGTAAAATTCAAAATTGGACAGAAAGGTTGCCACATTATTAATTGAAATATTTTGAAAACGGAAGTTTAATATTTGTGTTAATATTTCTTTTACGTAACTTGTGAGTAGACACAGCGGATCTACGTGATTTCTATATTTAAGAGAAACGCTTTGTGTATCGTACATAAACCAACTGAATATCAACACGGAAATGAAATTCCAAATAACGTTTTCAACATGCCTAGCGGCCATCTTCATAAAGTATGGCATTGTTACACATGTATATATTATATACACAATGTATATATTGTGTTATTTATCGTCTTAATTAATTTTAGAATCCTAATAAGACCAGAGAAAATAATTTATGGAGATGAAACGATGTGACAACACAACCATAGCAGGCGTTCTTCAACATTTGTTACATTCTTAAAGATACTAGCAGCAATATACTGCTCATCTAGAGAGAACTTCTCGCTCACGGTAAGCCAGGGACCCGGGTTCGAATGCTAGCGATGGCTATGATCTAACAGAGTGTACTCCATGGCCGCGAGGAATAATTACTTCACAGATGTCACATACTATCATAATGAATAAAGATTTGGAAATGGAGCCAACAATTCTTAATTCATCACAATGACACTTAGGTAGCTCCACATGTCACCATGAACATCTATAGTGGTAAAACTTCAGTCGTCTTTCATTGATAGGATGTTTATGTAAAAAGTACGTGTACCACGCATTTTTTTGGTTTTTGTTCTTGTTTTTGTGTGTGTGTGTTTTTTTTAATTTCGCCGGTATCACATAATACATAGAACCGTTAAAGAGGGCAATGACTTGTACGAAAAAAGTATCAAAATATACAGAGGACGATGAGATCTTAAGGAAATTAGATAAGTAAAAACCGAAAGGAAATTTCTGGATGAGATTCATATCAGACGTAAATTGTCGAGTGCTGTTTTTTGAAAACCTGTGAACAAATGAAATTTACAAACATTAAGCCATTAGCGCATTAGCCATAAACAGAGACGTATATAACACATGTGTTATATATGTCTCTGGCCATAAAACATATTCATTGTACAAAAATTGTGAAAGCAAAAGTCTAAATTCATATTAATCCACTGAGGAGAGACGAGTGCTCAGAATCTAACCAAATGTTATCATCTCATTACAGTAAAAGAAGTAAATCAAGTTAATTATTCAAAAATATTAGTTATAATATACCATTACGTTATATTGTAAAATACGTATTGGCTATTTTTTTTTGTTAATATAACTCATTTAGTCAGTATGATCGACTGAAAAATAACTACTATACAAACAAGGAAATAGTTGTAAAGCCAGTTAATTTACTGTTAATGATCTCTCTCTCTCTCTCTCTCTCTCTCTCTCTCTCTCTCTCTCTCTCTCACACACACACACACACACACACACACACACACACACACACACACACACACACACACATATATATAATATGTTTCCCAAATGATATTTGCTCAAATCGTTTTGGCAGTATCACATTTTTCTTCTCTATGCTTATCATTGATTTTGATGTATTGTTCTTTACAAACGCAGCTATGTAAATTTCATTTTAATTAATCGAAAACTATTCATTCAACTTAATATCGGATCTCCCTTGGGGTACCTCCCACCGTAGGGAATTCCCTCCGATGACGTCAGCCGGAGTCCCCGACCTGTCATATATTTTTTTGACGTAACGATCGGATCGATGTTCGACTCTGTGGGTTGAAATGTACTGTGTCGTCAGGAAGATTTGATTTTGACTTGAATTGATTTGATTTAGCCGTTAATTAGTGTTGGATAATGCGAAGGGATCCGTCATATTTTGATGCTTCGGAGAGTAATGACTGTAAAATGGCGGAAAATGGACATGAAGATGTGGATAGTGTAGATGAAAACCTGGACATGGACGATTCTGACGTAGGGAATCCAAACGACACAGACTTTTATGATGATTTACCAGATTCAGTGATAGTAACAAACATCGGAGACAATGTCTTTCTGGACCCCGATATTCAGGTTTGTTTGTAAATATTGATTGTTTTGTGTACAATTTTGATAACACGTGACAACACGACGCCGGCTGTTCGTCATATTTATTTGTATACAGTGGAAATTAATATTGGTTGCATGCATGTTAAGCACTGTGATAATAACTATCAAGAAACCGTTCGTAAATCATTATCACATATGCATTGAAGGTTTGTTTTGTTGCAAATGCAGTAGGTAAACATTTAGCAAAATAGAATATTCGCTGCTGTACATGTACTTATGCACAAAATCTTGCAATTTAAATGTAACTTAAGTATTAAGTTTAATTATACATTGTACATCGTACCTGATTATAATTAAAATGTGTGAAACAGAATAAATAACTAGTTAAACTGTCAAGTTATACCAGAACACTAACAACCAGACTAAATTAATACAGGTCTAGATGTATACATAAATTTGATTTAGTTTACAATTGTGAAACAAGCTACATGTATGTAAATCACTGTTGTTGGCCTCCAGGGATTGAAGTGCACTAGAGATCTTTCTGTGGTAGCTCCCTCTGCAAAAATACTTACTACGATACTGAATAGTTAAAGAAATCTTGAACTTTTTCAGACTATAGCCAAAGCTGTAGTATAAACGTTGTCAGTCAATAAATTAATTCTACCGCACTTTATTATCTAATTAGTGGTTCAGTATATACATGTACTATATGTCCATTGTTCAGTAATTCAATGCTTCAGTGAACATTGGCTCAGAAGGTCCGGTGTTCAGTGGATCATTGTTTCAGTAAACCATTGGTTCATTAGATCAACAGTTCAAGGACTGAGTAGATCAATGGATAAAAAGATCTTTGGTTCAGTATACCAATGGTTCAATAGGTCATTGGTTCAGTAGATCAAAGGTTCAGTATATCATTGGTTCAGTAGATCATTGGTTCAGGAGATCAAAGGTTCAGTATATCAGTGGTTCAGTATACCAATGGTTCAATAGGTCATTGGTTCAGTAGATCAAAGGTTCAGTAGGTCAAAGGTTTGGTAGATCATTGGTTCAGTAGATCATTGGTTCAGGAGATCAAAGGTTCAGTATATCAAAGGTTCAATATATCAGTGATTCTGTATATTAATGGTGCAATATATCAAAGGTTTATTATATCTTTGTGAATTTGGTGTTTAGTTTAATTTTCACAAAATGTAATCTTATTCAAGTGATGCATATTTGACAAACATTGACCCAAATTAATTATGGAGAGCATTACTATCTCTTGTATTTTCTTTTTTATCTTCTGTGGTTTACTGTTGTTTCTGGGAAACAATTGAAAAAATTATATAGATCGTAATTTCTGTAAAAAATGGCCGTGTAATGTTTACAAAGAACATTGATTTATAGTTTCTTCACAATAACTTTATAATTTCTAATACTTATTGTATATCTTTTGAGTTTTATTCAACTTCCAATGTTGTGTACAATGTACCTTGTCAGGACTCCACTCTGCATTCAACACAAAAGCAGAATTTTCGTAAAGAATTTATTTCCATACTGACTTATCTCCCCTTTTTGAAACTATGGTCTTTATATATCTAAGAGGCAAAGATTTAATTTTCAGTCCTATTTTTTTATATAGAATTTTTTTAAGATAGAACCAGTGTAGTGAAAATATTACGTTTAATAACATGGTTGATATTAAATGTTATACTACCATATTGGTTATTCAACTTTATGCAATTTAAATGCAGATATATTCTTATTTATGCTGAAATTCAGCTAGTAAAAGGTTGCACTGTTAGATCTTTCAATGTAATATATCCTGATTTCAGCTTATTTTTCTTTTTTATTTATAGCTGAATTTACAATTTTGCTGAAACGTCAAATTGTAATTTTTTTTTTTATCAAAAACATTTCCCTGTTGATAGTTTTAAGCACACACATTCTTTGTTTCTTTAAGTATGCATTGCGTTTATCAGAATACAAATCATTGTACATTATAGTGAAATTGATCCAACATTTACAGACAAAAAAGACAGTTACATTTTTCTCTTGCATATGGTATCAGATTTGTTGTGTTTTTTTTTCCTGGATTGAGTAAGATTTTACTAGACTTATCAAGACAGGTAAGACAGGTTTTCGCAGAATCCAACCACTTGTGAAAATATTGCACCACTACCTTTGTTTTATTTGATCTTGAAATTTGACCTTTGACTTTCATGACCAATGGTAGTTAGTTTTCAAAATACCTTATAAATCTACTTTAATCTGAATTGATTTATGTGGCTTTCAGATGCATTATTCTTTGAAGTGATCCACTTACATTTAGATTTACGATAGCTTGTGACGCAAGTTTACATTTTATTAGATCTACTTAACATGTTAAAACTGATTTTGAATGGCGTATTTTGGTGTAATTTTCTGCATGACTATTCTGATATGGCACTCCCAGGGAGCTAAAAATAACTTGTTATACAATGCCTTTTTTTTTTTCGATGAATTTGTTCCAGATTTTATAACATTTTGAAAATAATTTGCCTCTTTTAATTACAATATTAATTTAGCAATAATCCAAAGCTTATATGAAACACATGTATAAAAATTCCTAATATTATTTGCTCCTTAAACGATGTTGATAAATTATTCATCAGTTATATAATGATAAATTGTTAGATAATATGCAAAATTAGGATAGAATATTGCCTGATAATTCGGTAATTTGTTTGAAGTTTTAGTAATACTTTTTTTTTTTTTTTAAATTAACAGTAACATGGTTTGATATTTGACAATATAATGTTAGAGATATGGTAACAAGAGTAAGCTTGTAAGCTATTCCTCAACAATGATTACTTTACAATACAAATTACATAACATTGATTTTTATACAAATATTACCAATTCAACAAAGCCCACTAATGTGATAATTTGAATTGTGTTACATCAGGGTCAGAAAATAGGGGTCAAACTAAGGAGATAGATATTGAAGAATGAAGATTGACAAGTATACCTGTATATATATTTATATACAAGATATCGTCTCAAAGAAATGCCAACTTCATTCCTCCGTAATAGCAAATTGAATTTGTGACAAAAGATTTTTATAAAAATAAACATTGAAAAACAGATGCCATCCTGCCCAAAAATAGTTTTAGAAAGTTTAAAATTTTCATTTAATTTGAATTAATTTCTTCAGTTACATAAAGCTGTAGACACTAGATCGATAAAACAGGACACTTTTATGTGGGTGAGTCACGTCACATAACATGCAAATCTTATATAACAACGCAACTCTTGTGAACTTTCCATCTATAAATATATTTTTTTTGTGCCTCATCCCATTCATCAAAGAATTGAGTGTTTGGAATGAAGAGTGAGAGATCGTTGAGTTGTGATCGGCTTTCGAGGGAATATATAATGCTATTAGTGTAGACTATTTGCAAGATAAACAGGGAAATTTACACCCACGTTATATGAAAAATTGCATGACATGTCAGACTTTTGTGTAAATTTGTCCAGTGATGTAGTATATACTTTATAGCATAGGATCGCAAAAGGTATGGCACAGGCCATTGGCTGACCAGGTAAGCTAAAACGTGATGCACAAATTTTGTTTTAATAAGTATTTACCTTTTTCTTGGTTTTCTCTATATTTTTTGCCAATATAATTTCATGTTACACAGATTGTGCCTGACATGTGTAGCTAAATATGTCCGGTTAGGTTTTATAATTTATTCTAAATATTTAATCTAAAATTTGATTTAAAGTTAGGTTTCCGTGTTGAAATCTGTGCACACTTAATTATTGTAGGGTGTTTTTAATGATGAAAAACATTTCAGAGTGATTTCCTCCTAATCTTGTCTTTTATATTGTAGAGAAAGATCATCTGGTAATAATTAAGTGTGATAATAAGTTTAATGTTTGATAATAAGTCTTATGCCTGGTATTAAGTCTTATGCCTGGTAATAAACCTTATGCCTGGTATTAAGTCTTATGCCTGGTATTAAGTCTTATGCCTGGTAATAAACCTTATGCCTGGTATTAAGTCTTATGCCTGGTAATAAACCTTATGCCTGGTATTAAGTCTTATGCCTGGTAATAAACCTTATGCCTGGTATTAAGTCTTATGCCTGGTAATAAACCTTATGCCTGGTATTAAGTCTTATGCCTGGTAATAAACCTTATGCCTGGTAATAAACCTTATGCCTGGTATTAAGTCTTATGCCTGGTAATAAACCTTAAGCCTGGTATTAAGTCTTATGCCTGGTAATAAACCTTATGCCTGGTAATAAACCTTATGCCTGGTAATAAACCTTATGCCTGGTATTAAGTCTTATGCCTGGTATTAAGTCTTATGCCTGGTAATAAACCTTATGCCTGGTATTAAGTCTTATGCCTGGTATTAAGTCTTATGCCTGGTAATAAACCTTATGCCTGGTATTAAGTCTTATGCCTGGTATTAAGTCTTATGCCTGGTAATAAACCTTATGCATGGTAATGAACCTTATGTCTAGTAATAAGCCTTATGCCTGGTAATAAACCTTATGCCTGGTATTAAGTCTTATGCCTGGTAATAAACCTTATGCCTGGTAATAAACCTTATGCCTGGTGATAAACCTTATGCCTGGTGATAAGCCTTATGCCTGGTGATAAACCTTATGCATGGTAATAAACCTTATGCCTGGTAATAAGCCTTATGTCTAGTAATAAGCCTTATGCCTGGTAATAAACCTTATGCCTGGTAATAAGCCGTATGTCTAGTAATAAGCCTTATGCCTGGTGATAAACCTTATGCCTGGTAATAAGCCTTATGTCTAGTAATAAGCCTTATGCCTAGTAATAAGCCTTATGCCTGGTAATAAGCTCACCTTTAACCTTTGAAGTTTCAGCAGAGATCACAGCATGGTTTTGTCCTGTAATAAGCCCTCCCTTTATTTTGAACCAGAGCTTATTTTTTGTCCCTGGGTTTATTGCAGGCTTAATACAATAGTGAAGTTGTAATTAAATACATATCAAGGACTTGATTAAGGAAGAACAACAACATTCATGCTGTTTTCAGCACATCAAGACTGGCATTTGATGGCAGGGATTTTGAATTCATCGCAAATATAATCCAACTCAACAACTGTTTTTATAACAAATCTACTTTAAAAATGCTTAGAAATTTTGGAGTTCAGAATCAATATATTGTTCAGCCCCAAAACCTGAAATTCCAGCATAATCATGTTAATGCTAAAATAATTCTAAATTACAATATTTACACATAAGATTTCATGGACACAGGATGTTGCTCAGCATGTAGAAATTTTTTTCCCCTGAAAACAGTGTGTATTTATTTGTCTTAATACATAAATGTGAATCATGGAATGTCCCTGTGATGTAACGAGACTTATTTAACTGAACGTGTGTATTGTAGATAAAATATAGAGAGATGTCTTCAGGCAGTTGATCTATTCACTTTATGAATCATTCAATAGTTGCATGGTGGTGATGGCGTTTTCTTGGAGGGGAAGGGAAGTTGGGGCAGTATTCACCAAGGTCATATCATTGTATTATTGTAGCTTCTATGACGTAGTTGTAATGTGTTATGCATGTTCAGTCTGCCTTGTGATGTGAGAGAGAAAGCCATGCTTTGTGATGAAATCTGACAGCCCCTTGTGGTGATGACGCACTAGAGCCTAGAGACATGGTGCTCCTTGTTGTGTATCACTGTAACAGTATGTCAGTCAGTACAAGCATGGTTTGCTTGGAAGAAGTCATTTTCCCAATACAGAGTGTTTTTTTTTATCATTAACATTGCCCTAGATATCATAAATACTGATAAGCAATTTTTTGGGTATTGAAAAAGCATTTTCAAAGAATTGAAATTTTATTAGGTCTTAGTACAAAACATCAAAAGTAGTTGAAAAAAGGGGTAGACAATTTTTACTAGAAATTTTGAGAAAATTATCATCTTCATTTAGTTTTTAATTTCTTGATATCAAGCTGACAGATTTTTCAAGCAAGTTATGGCCTTGATGTATGGATTTAATTACTTAAGATTTGAATGTTAATGTTTATATGACGGCATGAATGATTGTATGTTTAATGTGTCTAAATAGCCTCAATGTGTTTAAAACAAGATTCCTAACCACACAAAATTTTTGAAAAATAGCCTTCATTCTATTTTTGGCCATTCCTTTACAAGAAATGATTGAAGTGTTTAGATAAATGTTGGCTCAGTGATAAAACTTGCCTATACATTGAGATATCAGTACGAATTAATAGGTAAGGAGATTTGGATCTTGTATGGTCTACACTAGAATTTACATGTACACCTCTGTATTATCACTTGGTAATTTTGTACTGTTGGATTAGCTTGGATATTGAACATCTGGTCCCAGGTGACACAGAGTGAATTTGTGAGTATTAATTGAAAATTTCAACTTTTAAGGCAGACTACGTGTTTAGTGGAACCATGTTCACTTTGGTTTGTTCATGCAGTTAAAGCTTTTTCGTCGGAATTCTTGTTTTTTGTTTACAATGGAACCTCATTAGTTTGGGCACTTCGATTTGTCAATACAGTTATACTTTGTTGGTTTGGAGACTTGTTTTGTTAATAATGGAACCTTGTAAGTCTGGACACTTTGGTTTGTGTGTACAGTAGAACCTTGTAAGTCTGGACACTTTGGTTTGTGTGTACAGTAGAACCTTGTAAGTCTGGACACTTTGGTTTGTGTGTACAGTAGAACCTTGTTAGTCTGGACACTTTGGTTTGTGTGTACAGTAGAACCTTGTTAGTCTGGACACTTTGGTGTGTCTGTACAGTAGAACCTTGTTAGTCTGGACACTTTGGTTTGTGTGTACAGTGGGACCTTGTTAGTCTGGACACTTTGGTTTGTGTGTACAGTAGAACCTTGTTAGTCTGGACACTTTGGTGTGTCTGTACAGTAGAACCTTGTTAGTCTGGACACTTTGGTTTGTGTGTACAGTAGAACCTTGTTAGTCTGGACACTTTGGTGTGTGTGTACAATAGAACCTTGTTAGTCTGGACACTTTGGTTTGTGTGTACAGTAGAACCTTGTTAGTCTGGACACTTTGGTTTGTATGTACAGTAGAACCTTGTTAGTCTGAACTGCTTGGTTTGTGTGTACAGTAGAGCCTTGTTAGTCTGGACATTTCGGTTTGTATGTACAGTAGAACCTTGTTAGTTTGGACATTTTGGTTTGTATGTACAGTAGAACCTTGTCAGTCTGGACACTTTGGTTTGTGTGTACAGTAGAACCTTGTTAGTCTGGACACTTTGGTTTGTGTGTACAGTAGAACCTTGTTAGTCTGGACACTTTGGTTTGTGTGTACAGTAGAACCTTGTTAGTCTGGACATTTTGGTTTGTGTGTACAGTAGAACCTTGTTAGTCTGGACACTTTGGTTTGTGTGTACAGTAGAACCTTGTTAGTCTGGACACTTTGGTTTGTGTGTACAGTAGAACCACTGTTAGTCTGGACACTTTGGTTTGTGCGTTCAGTTGAACCTTGTTAGTAGAACCTTGTTAGTCTGGACACACTTTGGTTTGTGTGTACAGTAGAACCTTGTTAGTCTGGACACTTTGGTGTGTCTGTACAGTAGAACCTTGTTAGTCTGGACACTTTGGTGTGTCTGTACAGTAGAATCTTGTTAGTGTGGACACTTTGGTTTGTGTGTACAGTAGAACCTTGTTAGTGTGGACACTTTGGTTTGTGTGTACAGTAGAACCTTGTTAGTGTGGACACTTTGGTTTGTGTGTACAGTAGAACCTTGTTAGTGTGGACACTTTGGTTTGTGTGTACAGTAGAACCTTGTTAGTCTGGACACTTTGGTTTGTGTGTACAGTAGAACCTTGTTAGTCTGGACACTTTGGTGTGTGTGTACAGTAGAACCTTGTTAGTCTGGACACTTTGGTTTGTGTGTACAGTAGAACCTTGTTAGTCTGGACACTTTGGTTTGTGTACAGTAGAACATTGTTAGTGTGGACACTATGGTTTGTGTGTACAGTAGAACATTGTTAGTGTGGACACTTTGGTTTGTGTGTACAGTAGAACCTTGTTAGTCTGGACACTTTGGTGTGTCTGTACAGTAGTACCTTGTTAGTCTGGACACTTTGGTTTGTGTGTACAGTAGAACCTTGTTAGTGTGGACACTTTGGTTTGTGTGTACAGTAGAACCTTGTTAGTCTGGACACTTTGGTGTGTGTGTACAGTAGAACCTTGTTAGTCTGGACACTTTGGTTTGTGTGTACAGTAGAACCTTGTTAGTCTGGACTGTTTGCATTGTCTGTACAGTAGAACCTTGTTAGTCTGGACACTTTGGTTTGTGTATACAGTAGAACCTTGTTAGTCTGGACACTTTGGTGTGTTTGTACAGTAGAACCTTGTTAGTCTGGACTGTTTGCATTGTCTGTACAGTAGAACCTTGTTAGTCTGGACTGTTTGCATTGTCTGTACAGTAGAAACTTGTTAGTCTGGACACTTTGGTTTGTATGTACAGTAGAACCTTGTTAGTCTGGACACTTTGGTTTGTCTGTACAGTAGAACCTTGTTAGTCTGGACACTTTGGTTTGTCTGTACAGTGGAACCTTGTTAGTCTGGACTGTTTGCATTGTATCTCGTAAACAATCTGTACATTTAACGGAGTTAATGTTGATTAGATAAGTATATATCTCTGAGTACTTATCATCTAATTACCATTTTATTTAGTTTACTTGGGATTGATTCCATATCACTTATAATTAATTTTGAATGTGTAAAGACACATTAAGTGTGATTTGCAGATTTAAAAACCCTATTCTTCATACAAGCTTTTATCATGATAATGCTATTAAGATCGTTAAAATTTGTGAATTTGAGGGATTCTTTAAATAGATTAAGTTTAATAGAAATTCTATAAAGACATTATCACTAGATCGTACTTGGTGGAGGTAATGAGCAGTTGATTTTTATAATTATGTACTCTTAGGTTGGTACTTTTAAGGATTGTAAGCTTAGCATTTTAAAATATAAAATTCTAGAACAAAAATACATACAAAGAAAGAAAGTGGCAAAAAACACCTACATATATAAATGTGTAGTATTGAATTTATATTAAAACATATATATATATATATGTATACTAACATGAATATTCATAAGTTATAATCGTTTATAGTCAATTGAACCAAAAGTGTTCTTTTGAATTTAACATTTTAATTTTAAGCTGACAATGCTTTGGATATTTTGTGAAACCTGAGGTACAGTGTGTATCTTTAAATGACCATTAGTGTTTGTAGGGGGGATGAGGGGGTTTGGATATTGTTGTAGTACTCAATGTAGTTTGTAGTTTTAACATTTCCATATCTGCGTCATTGGTCATATTGACACTGATTGCGTCAATGACATTAACCATGTATTCTTTTGTCCCCTTTAACAGTCACTTAGTATGTCCCACACAACAGAAAGTCAAATCCATTGCTATTGAATTAGGGAAAAGTTTTGTCAGTGGAATAAACTTCAATAATGCTAATCATTGATGAAATTTGATTCCCTTTGCTGATTTGCGTCATTTGGTGTATTTCCTTTTTTCAGAAGCCATTTTCATTTATTTGCCTATTGATCAAATTCTAATAACGTTTGTGTAAAACAGGGTGTAGAATCAGATGTTTAAATGTATAAGCTACGTAAGTAACACCATTTTATTACAGAACGTGGTTGAAGTAAGATATTAACACAGCTTAGAGTAAAATTATTTTATCTAATTGTTCTTACTGTTTAGATTTAATAATAAGGAATCGTCTTTAATTACTGGATAGTTTTTATTTCAAACTATCACAATATTATTTTTCAAATTTTTGTTTATAAATAATTAAAATAATTAGATAAGTTTGCTTATTTTTTTCTAAGTTAAAAAGACACATTGTATTCTGTGTTTAATGAATTAAATTTTTATTTCTGTGTTTTCAGAAACAGTTTGAAGAAGTGTTCAGATATTTTGACGAAGCAGTGACATTTAATTTCCTGAAAAGTTTTCGTCGAGTGCGGGTGAATTTTAGCCATCCTGAGTTTGCTGTGAAGGCAAAACTCGGCTTACATGAAATGGAAGTGTGTGGAAGTTGTATAAAGTGTTACATGGCTCAGGTAGGTGTTTTACCTCTGTTTTCATTGTAAAGATTTAGTTATAAGAAATTATTCAATTTCAGTGTCAAAAAAAAAAAAAAAAAAATGAAAAAATGGCTAATTGAGGAATTTTATCTTAGATTGACCAAATCTGCTTTGAGTCATAACCATTCAGCAAAATTGAGAAAAAATGAAAAGTAATGAAAACTATTGTTTTGTCTTGTTGCTGCAATCAGCTCTATAATGGTGTTTATTTATCAATATCCTTTCTTCTGCTGAAGTGAAGGAAACAGTGTTTTGTTTCATGTGTGTACATGTTATCATGCCGACAAGGTTCAGTGGTGTTTATGGGCATTAATTTTGTAAGATCAGTAAGGCTTTGTGTCACTTACTAAAATGAGGTCACTGTGACCTCTACTTGACCTTTAAACATTATCATTAACCATTACACTTTGGAAATAAGAATGCAGTGTGTCGTGTTCTAAAGTGGAGTCATTGCCATGTCTTCTTGACCTTTGACCGTGACAATGAGTACCAAAAAAATTATACATGTTTCCAGAGCATATCTCTGTTGCTGGTTATGTATGGACTTCAGACATAGAAACTACAACATGAGTACTACAGCCAGGTCACTGTGACTTCACCTTGAACATTGACCTTGATTGTAAACACTACAAAAACAGCATAATATAACTTACAATCTTGGCTACTTAATTTCACGTATAGATTACAAGTTTTGTGGGAATGTAGACATCATGGGAAAGTTTTGTCACATATTTGGGATGTTGTTTATCAATGTAACTTCCAAATTTTACATGATCTTAGATTTTCCCTTTTTCAGCTGTAGACTGAAACATGTAGGAGTTGGACTGATCTCTGCCCCTATGTCAAATTATTTCACATGTAAAGGTGCTACTCTTGTAAATTGAAAATTGACATGTTGATTGCACTAAATGAAATATGGTGAAGTAAAAACTAAAATTACTAACATCACAACTGACATATTTGTATATGTGATTTGTTGTTTTATGGAATTTTGCAGCTAAATATTTTTCACCACTCTACGTTGATATTTCAGTAGAAATGATAATGATAACAAATTTCCTATAGTATTTTCCTGTAATAAGCCTATCCCCAAACTTGAAGTAGTAAGTAAAGCACCACACACACACCCTATTCTGTAGGTTTCAACAATACATTTTACACTGTACTTTCTTCTGAATTGGGGATTAAGCTTTAAAACAGAATCTAGTTTCATAAAGAAACTTTTTTCAGAATAATAATGACCTTGATTACTTCTTTTCTGTTTACAGCCGAGAGACAAAAGTCGGGACAAGATTGACCCACACCTTCAACCTCCAGCTCCAACAAAGCAGTTTCTTATCTCCCCACCTGCCTCGCCTCCTGTGGGCTGGGAGCCTATAACTGAATCAGAACCTATTATTAACTACGATCTCCTAGCAGCCATGGCAAACCTCGCACCAGGTGAGCTCCACTTCAAAATTGATCTGAAATTTGACAAAATTCAAGGTCGATTTAAAAGTACTTTCTACCCCTATGTGTCAGATAAATTAAGTTAGTTCTTTTTTACATCACTTCTTCAAATAAATTTTTGTAATATATTTGCCTTGTTTATTTAAGAATTCTTAGTAACAAAAATGACCCAGGGTCATGATATTGGGCCAGTAACGTGCTGGCATGAAGGGATACCAAGTTTGTTCAAATGAATGACCTTGACATTCATGCAAGGTCACAGGTGACAAATTTATTAAAAATCTTTAAATGACTTCATTATTATAACAAAATGGACCAGTGTCATGATATTGGGCAAGTAGCATGCTGGGAAGAAGGAGGTCCAATTTTGTTACATGAATGACCTTGACCTTCTTTCAAGGTCACTGGGGTCAAATGTGTCAAAATCTTCAAATGGCTTTGTCTCAATAATCCAATGGCCCAAGGTCATGATATTGACTAAGAAACAATAAAAACTTTGTTGTTTTTAATGATGGGACGGATGGATAGATTCTCAAACTGACCAAAGACCTGAAGTCCTCCAGTGACCGTTCAGGTCCATAGGCCTCTGGTTTGAGAATGAAAACAGATTGAATGTAACTGTGATAACGTCTGTGTTGACCATTTTTTTGAAAAACTATTTTCTGTGGTAAGAACTATTACCATCTGCCCAAGGTAGGCTACATTGCCGGAGTCTAGTTCTCTTCTTCACCACCTTCTCTTGAACTGTCATCTTTTCTTGGATCCCGCCTTTTCTAGAGAGACTACTTTTTTTGGGAAACTTCTCTTCGTGGTTCTGTCTTTTTATGACAGACCATTGTTTTCTTGAGATCATCTTTTCAAGAGATATTATCCACTTGGAAGTTTTACAAACATGTGCTAAATTTTAAAATAAGGTATACAAAAATTAGGTCAAAATTTCAGTACGGTATCAACTAATATTTTGGGTGGGCAGGTGGCTCAGTGGTAATACACTCACCTTTCACCTAGCCGATGGGGTTCGATTCCCGGAACATACGTGAAAAGGTAAGGGGTCACCTGCCCGACCACATGGGTTTTCCCCGGGTACTCCGGTTTCCTCCCACATTAAGACCCCTCGCAGGCTTACATCCGGGCCAACAAGAGTGATTAGTATAAGTTGACATTACTTGTTTCGCAATTGTTGTAAAATGAATGAAGTTTATTATATTATAACATTTTTTTAATGTTCTGCTATTTTTATGAGATACAAAACATCAATCTAGCAATATTTATGGTCGAGGAGAGAAAAATCTTTACCCTGTAAGATTCTGGAAAACATGTTCACTGTCATGTAATACAGGAATGCACCCACGATGCTACTGTGTATCTCTAGCAACAAGTCTGTGTTTGGTAAAAAGCCCACCCATGTTATACATTTTCAGTAAAAATACCAATAATGCTATATGGTTGTCCAGTAATAAGCCCACCAAGTCAGAAGTTATGCTCTGAAACCTTGGGCTTTATTTTGGATAACCTGGTAAGAAATTTTCTATATTCTGATATTGTGTGTTTACAGGGGAAGCCCATGAGTTGCACCCTCAGACAGATAGCCAGCCTGCCATCATTGTACATATATGTGACAATGAGGAACCAGTCGATCTTTACGGGAACAAACGCCCAAAACTGCCACAGACGCGCTGTCCAGAGCGCAAAACGTGATATCAGCATCTTGTGGATTTCTTTTTCCTTCCTGAAACTGTTTATCTCAAACTGTTAAAGTCTACAAGAAAAGTGTTGTTGCAGACTTTAGGATAAAGTATCTTAACAATCTGTTTTCAAATTTTTATCCGAAAGCCCTTTCAAATTTTTTGTGTGAAAACATGTTACTGATTCCATGCAAAGATGTACAAAGATTTTTCACTCTATCATTGTGTAAGACTAGTAGCCAAAATTAACCAGGTCTTTAGGAAATGTACAGATGTAGTGTCTAGAGAGAACTAATGAGACTAGTGGAGAGTGTTGGATCATGTTTAGATACCTATTTTAACAGCAAAATATCTAGGGAAACACTTGATACACATTGTACAAATATAAGGCTGAGCAGGGCTTGATAGGTTTCATATACGTTATTTTCCAAAGCAGTATAAATTGCAGTGATTCAATACACTATATCTTTACATTCGTGTTCATATGGCTTGTGATAGACTTGTTTGTAAAAAGATGGACTTTTTGTAATGTTTTACTAGGCTAAAATCTTTGATATATTATAAACTTTATGAAATGAAATGCTGTGGAAAATGTACTACTAGAGTGTTTAACAAAAAAAAGATAGATTTGAAAATTTCAGATGAGAAAACTTGACATATCTTGCCATAAACACCTTCTGCTAGTATGAGTTTTCTTTTTGTGTGTTATTTTGTTATCTTTATAAGGAATTGTTATTTAATGTTGACATTTTATTTTTGTGAGGCCAGGATAGCTCATGTGGTTAGAGTGTTGGCTTACGTAACCTTAAGATCTGAAGTACATGGCTCCACACTTCTATTTGTGGCAGTCTGTGATGACAAGGTTTTGCCATGGCAAGTACATGGCTCCACACTTCTACTTGTGGCAGTCTGTGATGACAAGGTTTTGCCATGGCAAGTACATGGCTCCACACTTCTACTTGTGGCAGTCTGTGATGGCAAGGTTTTGCAATGGCAAGTACATGGCTCCACACTTCTACTTGTGGCAGTCTGTGATGACAAGGTTTTGCAATGGCAAGTACATGGCTCCACACTTCTACTTGTGGCAGTTTGTGTTTCTCAGGAAGCTGAGAAACAGACAAGTCTGTGATGACAAGGTTTTGCCCTTGGGCAAAACAGTCTACCCTTATTTACTTTGGTTGACATGCTATGGGCCTCCCCTATGTCTTTCGGTGAGTTAACCACCAGCTACTCCATAACAAGCCTATTCACAGAATGATAAACCCAACAAACCAAATGTGTCATTTCTTTTGTGTGAATTAGTTTTTTCTGAAATAGCACGCCATGAAGGATAATGGAGTTTCATGTTTTTACAGATATACGTTAGCATTACGGAAAGCCTCTTGATGGGATCTGTGATATTGATTTACTCTTTAACCCTATTAGTATTGTGGTCAAGCCAGCCTGAAATGATTGTAATTGATGGTTATTTTGTTAGTGATGTCTCAACAGGAGACAAAGCTAAAGATGACGACATATCACTCATGATTTGTATTCCGTAGTTATTCAACAATAACCCGATGCCTGGTAATAAGCCCACCCATATCTTCTGCAGCTTCTTTTGAAATACATAAAACTGTACCAACAAATGCTGTATTATTGTCCTGTAATATGCCCATCCCCCTACATGGAGTCAGAGGCAATGTCTTGGCCCCATTATATCATTGTCCTTTAATAAGCCCATCCCCCTACTTTGAGTCAGAGGCAATGTTTTGTCCCCTGTCCTGTAATAAGATCAAACTGCGAAAATATACTAGGAATCAGAGGACCCCGGCTTATTACAGGATAAATATGAAGCTTTTTAAATTGATATTACCTTGAATACATTTTACCTGCATGATCCCTTTAAAATTATATCTGTAATATAATTAGCAGTACATATATCAACCTTTAATAGATATCCTTTGGGGCCTCTCAATATGATAAGGAGACCATCACTATTTTGACTTAATGTTGGGCATAATTTGCTTGGAAGGTTGTGTTTTCAAAGTGTCATATTTTTAAGAACCATTTTTGAGGAAAAAATATTTTTGTCTGGGTGACTGGTCTCATGAACCTTTTCTCATAAACTGCATAAAATACTGTTGTGTTGTTATCATCACTTTTAAGAGTTACACCCCTTGTATTTATAAACCAAAGAAAGCCTTGTGAAAGTTGAAATGTTTCTAGGTAACATCCTACCTAAACATCCTAATGGTTATGCTGCTGCCAACAAAGAATTATTGATCCAACTCTTGTTAGATTTTATTAGAAGTATTGTACAATCTACAAGCAACAAGGAAGTCTCGGAAAATAGACCTTGACTTTCAATTCTAGGAACCTGAAATAGATGTACTCCAGATTGAATTGTACCAAACCATGTCATTTTTTTCTGTTGTTAAGGAAACACTGCAATTCGTCAAATTTTTGTATGGTAACTGTAAACATAGGAACCAGATGTTATTCCTTGCTGTTTGTACATCAAGTCTGTTATTTTGCATTACAGAATACTTTATCCTTTCCATATATACATGTTTTCATTGTTGATATCATCATGACCTACAAAGTACACAATGTATTGAATTTACAAAAAAAAAAATCAACTGATTTTGAAACACATTTTTCCAGGGAGTTGGGAGGTGTTTAGGTACATGTGCATGAATGAAGAAAAAAATTGTGATTTTATTATTTAATGCTGATGATCTTTTTGTCTTTGAGTTAATAAAAGAAATGAGGCAAATAAAAACAGGAGAAAAAAAATTGAATTAAAAAACCTTGATGTCATATTTTCAAACTGATATTCAGGATTATAGCCCATTGTTCAGTTTTGATACAAAAGTTTGCCAAAGGACGGGGGGGTGACTTCACCTAATTTGCAATACTCGCCTTCTTGTTGCAGATATACATGTACACAGTATTAAAGTGGTGTTAATTCTACAAGAAAATAAATGTTTTATATCAAAATTTGTGAACCCAAATACAGTAGCTTGTTCTTCATATACCCACACTGTATGCCATTTCTTTTAGATAGAACAGATTTAGTAACTGCCATTTTGATTTCATACAAATAAATGCGTTTCCCCAAGCACAAAAAATAGTGTTTGAAAATGATGTACAGGCACTGCTTTGTAATAAAGGCACAAAAATGTTTTTATCATTCTTTCTTGTTGGAAAAAAATGGCATCCTATTTTGTGATATCACTTAACAAATTGTTGATCTTTATATTGTACAGCGTATCCTGCCTCAATGAGAAAACAAAAGCTACAAATTTTTTTTGACAAATGCAAAATGCAAATGTTGAAAAATACAATATATATCAATTTCAGTTGCATTTTGGATTAAATTAAAAGAAATATAGAAAAATCATTCTTGGTCACAGGTGAAAATGTACTTACATATTGGAATTTTACTTGGATTTGAGGATGTTGAAAGTGTCATACCATACCTTTGCTGTTCCAGGCAGTATTGTATAGCCAGTGTATATAGATATACTATCCGTTACAAACCTGTATAAGTTGTCTCCCCTTACGTAAGCCTCGATCAACAAGAGCTGCCTGCTAATGGTAAGGATATTGTTATATTGCTGTTGGTTTATTGAATAAAGAATCTCTGAATCAGATTTTGTTGTAGTCTGATAATTTATTTTGCAGTTATGTTGAAAGTGTTTTTGATTGATGTCACTTTTGGCCATCAAAAGATCAGTTTCCATGATGAGAAAAAAGAATGAAAACTCATCCATTGCAAATGGCACCACTAAAAAGAAAGGATAAGTAGACAAAGGTTGCAGTAGCTATCGTGAAAAGCAAAATTTGATGTTTTGTCTGTTTCCATGATACAAAGTTTTTTTTTTCTTCTTCGAAATTTGGATTCTCCATTGCAAAATGCACTACCACAATGCTAGTTTGATAGTTTCAGGTAGTTCTTGTATGGATTCATGCTCCATACAACTGAAGTTTGTAACTTGGCCTATTCGTTTCCATGGTAACAGAAAAAAGTATTTAAAAGGAGAACTTCTCCATACCAAAAAACCACAACAAGAGGACTAGCTTAAAAACTGTAAAAAGTTTTGAGGCGTTATCATAATTTAATCTGCAAAAATTTTCGTGGGGGATAATAAGAATTTCTTGATACTTCTGTAATTATACTCAACATCAACAATTATCATCCGGGTACTAACCAGACAGACTTGCCAGTAAAACATTACCAATCAGGAAATATTAAATATTCAACAAGCACACAGATGCATGTAACATTTTTATTTTATTTTTAAGTTCATATAACAAATAAAATTATCAATAAGAAAGAAAAATTACTATTTTTCATACAAGATAAAAATGAACTAATCCCATGAAATGTTTCACATAATAAAACGGCTTCAAACAAGATCACAGGACTGTATGTTAAGGCAGATCCTAACAATGCTAGGGCTTCACACAGTGTTTTTATTGGTGTTCCTCACCTTCTCAAGAACTGAGAAATAAGGGTGTCCATCTTTCATATCTAGTACAATAAAGTTTTTTTATAATGTAGTCGGTCATTTTTTGCCTAACCGATGACCAAATCATCACCACAGCATGTTGTCTTTCCCAATATCTCGTCAACATTTCGTATTTGGTTTAGTGTTGCTTAACATCCTATAAAAAAACAATGTCATTTAAGGACATGCCAGGTTTGAGTGATGGAGAAAAGACGCAGTTCCCAGAGAAAAACCATCCACATAGTTATGACCAGTACCTGTTAACATCCCTACTTAGGCTGTAATCAGTGACCAAGAGTTTGAGAGCTAGTGACAATGATGGTCAGTTCCTAGGTCACTGGGCCATCGTGACCCCACTGTTTCGTAAATTCTCAATATGTCATAGAATTCATTTGAATAAGCTACCCCATGTAAAAATCCTTTACAATACCAAAAGTTTTCATAGTAATTTCCCAGCTGGCATTCTCAATTTATCACCAAAAATCCTGAAATGACAAATACCACTGATAACATGATATGACAGCACTTATAACAGAGAATTAGAACACAGTACCAGTATGTTGCCAGAACACTGACAAGTACATTGTATACTGGAATATTGTCGCCTAAGATTGTTTTTTGCCCTTGCATCTTTCTACACAAATTTACCTAATGTTTTTTGCCCTCTGAGGATTATATGAAATAGTTATAAAAGAGTAACAAATTTTTGTCCCTATCTAAGATTCACTCTTTCTGTTGAAAAAGGATGAAAATTAGATGGGGATGAAAATTTCATGGTATATAGTACTTGTGCATGGAATCCCAAACACTGCTAGGACCTCTTAACAAAAAGCAAGCAAGATTACAATATAAATACTGATATATAGCTAATTAATGTTTTATAGACTTAAATAATTGTATGCACAGTGGACATGTATACATATATATATATATCTGTAGCACTCTCATAATTCTCACCAGTCTTACATATTTACTTCACATAATATTAACATATATTGACTTATTACGACTGACTACACCAGGTGGTCAATTTTTTTGTGCAGAATGTGGTCAATGAAAAATTCTCAACAGATACTTACCTACTCTATAATGATAAAAAATATTTCTGAAAGTGGTCTGTATTTTGTAGACTAGAATCGTAACTAAAATCAACAAGATAAAAAAAGAAACAAAAATTATACCAATGAAATCATAAATTTGCTTGAAAGCATGAGGACAAGGCCAGAAGAGATATCTAATCAAAGATTGGTTTGGTTTAATGTTGCTTAACATTCTTTCAACAACCAAAGTCATTTTAAAGACATGTTAACGATTGGTGTAGGAAATCTGAAGCTCCCACAGAAACACCACTGACACGTAGCCAATATCAAGCAACTGCTCTTTAAAGACTTTCGAACCCGTGACCCAGAGGTGGTTTACTATTGATTAAGACTGTCAGATGCCTTAACCACACAACCACACAGCCACTGCAGCCCCATTTAATGAAGGAGTGAGTAAGAAGTGAGTCTATGGGACATTGAGTCCACAGGATATCTCTAGTACATTTTTATCACACGATTATTTTGTTATTATGGAAAATGTACTAATATGACACATTGCATGGTTTCTTCCTGTACAAATCAGTTCCTGACCATGTAAACTTCACCATATCTTTACTTTTTATCATATTTCCAAAAGGACAAATGGTAAAAAGTTAAGCTGCAACATAAAACATCCTATACACAATATCTTGATGTAAGAAGATGACATTGAAATCACATCACTCACAGATTGTCAAAATGGTGACACCAAGTGAAGCTGGGCTCAGGAATGAAATGGAAACTTAAAGCACTTTTTCTTCAGCATTAACAAAAAATGTTCAAATAGTAAAAACGATTTGAAATCTGTTTGTATTTTGTATCTGATTTATGAAACTCATTTAACCTTTTCTTTAAGTTTTCCGAGGCATGCGACAAGGAAACTCCTCTGTAAAATTCAGTTTCCCACTGTCAATAAATAAACAGTTAGCTTTTCCGTGTTTTTTGTACTATTGTAAATATTCTTAATTTTGAGTCGTCAAATTTCAGTGCATTATCACTTGTGACAATAAACAATATACCCTTGTATGAAATACTGTACTGTGATTACCAGTAGTGCAATCTTGCTTTAGCACAAAAATTTTCATAACAGAAAACACTAAAATAAGATATTATGCCAGAACATGTACTATGCATATATATATCCAAAAAGATATTAAAAAAAATTCAATATAAAACTCTACTTTAAGTAGAATTATAATTCAAATAAAAAACAAATTTGGATTACTTTCTCTTAACTTGATAGTACATGTACAAGTGTAAATGATATTAAGAATTCTTGCTCCTTTTCAGTATCTGTTGTTTAGCTGACAAATGACAAATTCTTTTTTTTTGCAATTGTAATAAGCAGTTACATTCTAGAGCTCAAACAGCAGTAAACATGTAAGTAAACAAATATCTTTGGTGACAGGTTATAAGCTAAAAGTCAAGTGGGAGGTGGTATGGGGTGAGATAGAGTAAAGGGAAGTTAAAACGAAACCAGTGAGAACAGGTCGGATGGGCTACAGAGTAAATATAAGGTGGGGGTTTGAAGGGGGTGTTGGGAGTCAAAAGTGAAAGCACTGACTATTTTTTGAAGGTGAGAGGTCAAGGGTCAATGGACATGAAGGTATGTATAGAGGAAAAATAGACAAACTTCGTGGTGGGATCAGAAAAGTTCATCAAGTTTTAAGATAGAATTGTTTGAATTCCATCATTCTCAATTTCTTTTTCACAATTTGAAAACCTACCATGAATAATAATTCATGCTTGTACCGTGTCATGAACCAAAAAAAAAAAGTTTTTTCCCTTTTTTTTTTATTTGCTTTATCCTCCGTTTGACTCACTAGAGTAAATCTAGTTACACTGCTATAGAACCTAGATATAGACACTCTAGATACAAAAATACATTTCCAACAGATTCTTGGAACATTCCCAAAACAAAGTCAATCATTGAATGCTTTAAAAATAAAACTGGACCAGAAAAAACTGCTTTAATAACAGAACTTAAGTTGTGATAAATAAATAAGATATTTTGTAGAAAAGGACTGGCCACAACTTTTCTCTAGAATCCTTGTGTAAAACTGTCTTAACAATAAAAATACTTTGACAAGTTCTTTATAGAGCACTTTCAATTAAAAAGAAACATCTGATACAAGGAATGTGGTTTATTTTCAGATTAAATGTCAATAAATTATGGCACAAACAGATGTTTTATACCGATACATATATACATATTTTCTCCCCTGTATCCTATCAAACTCTGATTGTATTGCATATAAATCACTGTTAACACTCTTCACAGAATATATTCGTAGCCAAATGCATTCATACTCACATAAAACTCATCACAATAATGTTCAATCTTTAAATATTCTGTCATCCAGCAATAAATTTTAATCCAATTTGGTCATTTAAAATCAGTGCTTTGCTACTAGCTTTCTTTTTCGTGACAAGTGAAACCTCGAACCCTGAGTATTCTAATATCTTGTCTAATTCCAAACAATGGTGAAATCCAATTTTTCTTAAAGAGAAACCAGCTCATGTGTGTATTACATGATTTTGTCAAAATTGACTAATTCACTGTGTCTATAAATAGTTAATCATTTTCTGGAATATACCTTCTCATGAAGAATTCATTCAAAGAAGAAACAGGTGAAAAACAATGTTAGGGAACTTATGATAATGTGTACTTATAATATCATCTTATGTGACAGAAATGCATCATATTTTGCACCAAAATTCTTACCACACGAAACATAATATTACCAACACTCTACATGGAAATTGTAGTGCAAATGTCAATACTTTCTACACATGATTTAAACATAAATTTTATGAAAAAATGATATTTTTGAGAAACCCTATACCAACATGGGGAAACTATTCAAGAAGACCAGGACAGAAAATTGAAAGGTATTTTTGGTGAACAAATGTGGTACATGTATGTGCAAACAAATGAAAGGTCAATTTGAATGCATGTGCCGAATTAGAAAGGATTTACTACAAGGGTATAAGACACTGACTGGCAAGGAGACTATGGGACATAATCTACAAATCAAGTAAAAGCTAAATGCAATTACAGGACATATTGAAGTCCTCAAAACTACACGAGGAAATTTTTGGTTTTACCCTGTTTCTTACTATCATTTTCAGAAAGACTTCTTTTTGCAACCCCTCTCTCCCACCCACCACCCAATTTTTATTAAGAATTGGATATCAATGTGTCTGAAAAAGGTCTTTTTTTTTTTAAGAACACATACAAACACACATACAGAATTAACATACATAACATCATTATTAAAGTCCCACAGCTCTGGCAAATATTGATCATTTATGATCACAGTAAGTAATAATAAATTTATTTATAGTCTGATAGTAAAAATTAAATTGTTTTTACGGTTTTTGACAAAAAAGAAGAAATGGTCTTCTTTTTAAAAAGTCAAATTCTAATCGATTTTGACTAATAACAAACTCATCTGATATCTCATTGATAAAAACATAAGTTACATACGTATTTGATGGAAACAAAGAAATCAACTTTTTAAAATCCTGTAACTGACAAGCGTTAAAGGATTACTGTCAATATCGAACTCATCCTAAATGAACCAGTATACCAAGTTCAAATCTGACTGTAATAATATCACTTTATACCAACTTTAGTTAGAAAAAAAATAAAAATTTTAGTTACTTGATGGAAACAAAGAAATCATCTATTCTGAGGGAATTTATTTCCTGTAGCTTGTTGACCGATGTCTGACTGAGATCTTATTGATATAAAGCAATATACAAAACGTGGTTTAGGTCTTACAATAAGAATTAAAGTTACTTGATGGAAAATAAAAAAAAGATGTACTTTAACATTTTGACTCTATCAAATGTTGATGGATTTTTTACCACTACTGAACTCATCTCTGATCTAACTGGGCCCTGTGGAACAGGTGAGCTAAAATAAAGTTATTCAGTGGAAAGTCACAACAGAAAAATAGACACAGCCAGACAAACATACATACAAATAGACTCACAGGTAGACCAAATACAATAAGCCACCTGGTCTTTGATCTCGGAGGCAGAAAAAAATTACCGGGGCCCTACCATGAAAACTTGACTTCATCAATTTGACAGTAATTGCTATGTGTGATATGGGTGGTTTGGTGGTGCAGCAGTAAGACTCTCACTTTTCATTTAAGTAAGCTGTGTTTGAGTATGGGGTGACCTGCCCTGATGCTCTTGTTTCCTCCCACAATAAGACCCTTTATGTAATTCCATTTGGGTCAACAAGAATGGCTGACATTTTATAATTCTTCAGAGACAACAAAATAAAAACCTTGAATATTAGATATACACACTATAAAGAATGCTTCCATGTACATGATTCTCAGTGTGCAACAACATTGAAAGTGATCACAGCAATGATGAAATGAGTTAATCATTGATGTAAAGAATAATTTCTAAATTTCTCTATATAAAAAATCAAAATAAATGCCCATTCAGGGCCATTACCATGTGCATGATCAGGGCTGTGAACACTGTGCATGACTAGTGACACCACTATATGCATTATCAGGACCTATTAGGTGAATTTTGTTCATCTGCAGTCAAGAGTATAGAGTATCTATTAGCAGTCAACAAATATTTCTAAAATTCACAGATATTTTTTTTTTCTATCTAACATAATTAAACTTTAACGTGAATCTATCACTACCATTCAGTTCATACCTCTTTTCCACATAATCATCCATTCAATACCACCTCTCTCACATAATCACAGTAATGTCACATACAATAAACTCCTCCTTGGCGTTTTCTTAGTTGATCCGGAGAAATCCTCACTCAGTTGAGGGCAGCTATAATCTCTCCTCAAATACATTATGGAAAACAGATGGCATATTTGGACCCTATATAGGGAATAGTGGTAGGTCATGTCATCTGATGGGTCGCCAATTGTGGTCGGTCTTGGAAACAAGACATGACGTCCTGTGCCAGCAGTTAAACGTCAGTCTTGTCATGTCAGGTGCTCAACAGACCATGACAAATGACCATACAGACATGTCCTACATGGTGTTGTCAGGCCTGAATCAATCAGCATTTCACACCAGAATGGTGTACCGATTAACAAGCACCAAATCTGGACTCTTGGCAAGTCTGCAGGTACAACATGTTTGTATCGCAAAGACAAACAACATGGCTGACTGCTCTATGACTAGTTATACACAAGATTCATGGCTGTGTCAGCATTTGCTGTGAGGATCTCTAGACTACTATCATCTGGTGTTGTCACGGCAGTACCTGACCCAGAGCTGGGTGCACTCAGTTCATTCTCACGCACATGGAGAGGAAGCTCAAGTTTTGGAGTGGATTCTCGGTTGATGGGCGTTCCTATAGGTGTGGTTTTACTGGAGCTTGATGTTGAACTGCTTGGAGACAGTTCCATGCCTAAGACCTCTTTCAGCACGTCAGGTAATTTTCTACTGTTCTTAAGTTGGAGGAAAATACTTTCAGCTTTCTTCAGGGTTTCCTCTAGGTGTATGGCTAAGCTCATATCATTGATGTGCTACAAAACAGAAAGGACATGTGAGAAGGTGACAATGAGACGTAATATATGTCCATGAAAAGTAATCACAGACTGAATTTTCCAACAATATTCTATATTCATAGATATTTCTCCACCGATGTTTAATTTCCTGTGCATATGAAATGAGTCATTTTTCAATGGTGATAAATTACAGTTTAAAAACAGATGAAAACAAATATAGCTAAATATTATTCCATTTTAACAAAGCATTCAATTTATATTTAATTCAAATGAAAATAAAACTTGTAAAGAATTAATGCCACTCTTTCATTTTTGATTTACTAAGAGAAAATCAGACAAATTTATGGAATCATTTTGTTACAAGTTTTGATTCTGATGTCAGTGAAACCTTTCAATACTACTAGACATACTAACCTTTAGGATTTCTGTGAAGCCAAATTTGTTCTCAATGAGAGTGATTTTCTCTGTATCCAGTATTGCCAGGCATATCAGTAGATGGAAATTCTTACAGGGTCGCTCTGTCCAGATCACCTGCAATGAATCAACATCTTTTTACCATATATAAATACTTTTTTCTATTGTGTATTTTACTCTTTATAGCAACAATGACTGCAACTTATTAATGAATGTTCTAAATTAATATTACAATGACAGATTTTCAAATGATGTAAAAATCTGCTTCAGTTTCACCAAGAAAAATGTTGCATGTATGATAAATACTCCTCGATTTTCTGTTGTAATTTTTCATTATAAGAGAGATAGCTACTTTCCAGTTGCCAGTTACGGGACAAACAGATATATCCTTTTTATCTTTGACTTGTTATGAACAACTAAACCACACAGTGCTAAACAGTATTTTTGCAATATATATATATAGTTCACAGTATCAGAAATTTTTTGGAGGTTAGCTTGAGCAGTTTTATATCACAGCACAATTTACTAACTTAGATAGTACAAATGATGAACTAAACACTGACAAACTGATCAAGAGACTTAACTTGTGTTAAGGTCAACAAAAACAAAACAAGCAAGTGTGGAATTACAAATCTTCAAAACAGAATGTCTGTGCAAACACTTACCTCCCATAAACGCTGTACGTCACTGAAGGAGAATTCCCTCTTGAAGAAGATGAGTAACCATCGGAAACAGAAGTAGAAGTTTCCAGAATCATGGCTCTCTGTGGGAAATAAACACGGTGTTACAATTCATTCAAAATTTATTCATAACCGAGGCTCATCTTTATGATCACACAGACTAGATACTAAACAATTTCAAAATGGACTCTTACCTAGATAGCTACACAGTTCTGGATCCGAGAACTGCATCAACCTGTGGATATCTGCGAGCTGGTTTTTCATTCCTTTCTGGTCCATTTCAAAGTTTTCCCACTATAAACAGAACAGACTGTAGTAATGGGAGCTCAATTAAGTCATCTTGATATCATAACCTGTCTTTCAAAAATCTGATAAATGATCTCTATGGTAAACACAATCCTTCCCTAAAAAATGCTATGATTCCCTTTAATATTACTTTTTATATATCATTATTAAGTTTCCATGAAAGCATAAACTTTATGTTTACAATTTCATATTATTTTATATAAAAAGATGTGAGCTTTGACCATACATTATTTATTATGGCAATTTAATGTAAATCACATTTTTCCAAGCTTAATCAAATAACAGTAATTTGATTCAACTACTCCACTAAATACAATTACAAGATGGGTGCTGAGACATACCTCCAGCTCTGGACTATTTAGACTTACCACTCTATCCATGAGACCAGCAAAGCACCAGAAAGCATCCACTTCATTCTCCATGACAACAAGGATGGGCGATAACAGATCACTCATCCCTTGTACATAACCTGGAAAGTTCAATTCACCTTCATATAAACCAATTGTTATTGTTATTTTTTCTGAAAGACATTTTTTTTCGCATTGATTTCAAATAAATTCAACTGATCAAAATTCCAGGTATTGTTTTGCAATAATGTTTGCAGCAGGGTCTCCTTGTAGGAGCAGCTGGTGGCTGCCTCACTGAACATCATACACAGATGGCCTCCTGCATGCTATATAGAGCATAAAGTTTAAGGGATTTGCCCATGGATACAACCATGACAGCACAGACTGATTTATGATCTCAGCTTCTTGAGAAATAAAAACCAGTCCTGTATGAATCAAACTACACATCTCAGATTTCCACTTTAGGATATAAAGTCAGTAGCTCTATCAACGTAGCTATGGCAACCAAATATTACTATTGACAAGTTCTTACTGTATTCAAATCAAAGAGAGAAACCTTCACAACATTAAGCTTACCTAGATCAAAGTTGTACATGCAGTAGGTCATGAGGATATCGTTTAGGACCTGTAGGTTAGGATTACATTCTCCCTCAAAGAACTTGTGTGTACGATCTGTTCGTGTCACATCCTTCTCTGTAAATGAATTCGATAAACATAATTAATTTTTCTATCGATAAGATTTATCTAATAAATGAAGGTACTTATTTTTTTTCTTAAGTTTGTTTTGTAAAATTTTACAAAATTACAAAATAAGTTATAACAGCTTATAAGAGTGCCAAAGTGGTCTGAATGAATCACACTGGAAAAAATTAATTCAAAGAATACATGTGTCTTATTAAAAAAAAAAACAAAAAAGGGAAAAAATGGCATAAAAAGATAAACAAAATTACCTATGAGACATTTTCTTTCCCTTAACAGAGAGAATCTTTTCTCCTGGGCATCACTGATGGTCTTCCATTGTAACTTCATCCTGAAGTAGTCATCTCTACAACAAGTCAGGGTACAAATCACCTGTATATCTAATACTTTACAAGTTCTCATGTTCAACGCTTCTCAATTTTTCTATTTTCATTGGTAAAAGTTGCTTTGACATGTAACTAGCATATATCTTGTATTAAGAACTAGAATCGGTTATAAAGATAAACCTTTCAAAATATTTAATTTTAATTCAGTTTATGAAGAAATTAGATTAAATTTGAGAAATTTTTCCTGTTTTATCGATGTGATGCAAACTGCTTCATTTTAAAAGACATTTGTTTAAGTTGTAATGCTTTTTGGAAAAGAATCACTTCCAGTTCAAGAAAACAATAAAACATAGGTCACGGACAGATGTCAGTATGCAACCTTACACTTTACGCTTTCTTTCATCAGCTCTTGATTTGTAGGTTGACTGCCAGTCGTAGTATCCCAGTAGAAACTTCCACACCTCTATCCTTATACAGGGGTCCACACCCTGTAACATAACAGTACATCAGATTTAAACAATGTTGTACACGTAAAGAAGGATTCCTTTTTTATTTCCAAAGTTTTGCATTTTTGCCTTTCAAATTGAAGTGTCCTGATGTTGAGTTTGTCTTGATGAGAATAGATTTTAACATACATCTTTCTTGTGTCTTGTTTTTTGTCATTCAAGAGAAAGGATCAAGCACAACTCAACTCAATATCATTTTTTCGATAATGTTGATTCCCCTCAGTGGTAGAACTCAGTGGCAGAAATTCATTTGGTATATAGGGTCCCAGATTTGAAGATGTAAAGGCCACAAAAATAAATATATGACCTTCAGCATATTGGCATTATGATCAAGAGTAAATCAAAAAAGTTGTGTTGTTAAATGTCAAGTAAGCAAATATCTATCTTGTAGGTAACTCATTGCTCAGGCAATAAGTCAATGTCAGTAATAAGCTCACTTAAATGTATCAACTTTCTGAAGAACTGCCAAAAAATTAATTTGCCCACCTTCTTACTTCAGATTGAAATTTTGTGTTTACTCACTGGGCCTACTGAAGGATGAATATAATGAAACTGGTTTTTGCAAAATCATACCCCTCTGAAAATGACGTCTTTCAGATTCTCAACGTCCTTGATACGACCATCTCTGTCCATGTGTTTTGACCACTGCTGTGAGTCAAGGGTCCCCCCACGGACTACTTCTGGACGAGTGGGCAGTTTGGTCTGCAAAATAAGAAAAGATGCATTAGCAAAAATAGTATCTAGAGCTTGTAGTATAAGTCTGGTATAAGAAATAAAACATCACTACAGTTGTGTTTCTTTACATCTTCTGTCAGAAATTTGACTCTTTCAAACCACAACAGTCAGGCACCATCTGCCTAAACATTTCCAAACATGCTTAAGATTTGATGGTATTTTTCTGACCATTGTAAATGAAGTGAACAAAATCACTCATTATAAGAATAAGGAAAACAGACAGAGTTATCCCCTCCTGCCTACTCTGTTACCACAGACAATTATCTATCAATCAATCTCTGTTACCTTTGTAACAACCTCAAATCCAGATTCAACCTGTTGACTGATCTCCATGCCAGGAATATCTTCCTGTAAAATTTCAGCCACTTCTTCCTTCGGTCGACTTGTCACTATATCTGGCGTCATTATAGTGTCACGCAAGAAGTTGGTGACCTTGGCAAACCCTCCAAGGGCAGTGGTGTAAGGATCATTGATAAATTTCTGTAAAAATCAATATAATTGCTCATTAAGTGTTATCTTTCACTTAAGAGTTAATAGCAGACATTTTAAATACATTATATATATATATATTTTTATATGTGGTGCAGGATGGGTCCAGGTGTCCAATTCTCATCAGTTTTTGGAGAGTGTTGGTGAAAGCAAGTGATTCCTGTGAATGTCAATTTTGCTTCTACTGGTCCAGGAAAATATGTCAATTATAAAATCTTAATGAATATTTAAAACGGAACATTAAGAAATAAGAATACCTAATCATTCTGAAAGACATACTGATACGCCAAAAACTGTAGAACTTACAGTATAACACATCAGGTCTGGCAAATATAGCCCCATAATTTCCAAATCTTAGTGAGGGAATCAAACTTGTAAGTGTCTTGTTGAAAAGCCAGCATGCAATCAAGTGAATTTTATACAGCATGGTATCAATAGTGAAGTCTGAATTTGTTTAAAAGCACTCTCCTTTTAACTGATATTCTCAGCAGGTTAACAAATTCTATAATAAGAATTATGAAGCAACTGCTTTGATAAAAGTCTTACTTTGTTATGACAAGATATTAGCATGCTAATGATACATAGTTACTAACGATGGGCATAACCTGGATACCTTCTAATTCAAGGGTTTTAAGGTTACACCTTGCCCCCCCCCGGGTCTATCTAGGATTTTTACTTCCACCTTTCACACAAATTTAAATACTTCCACCTTTCACACAAATTTAAATTGAGACACACAAACAGTAAAAACCATTGTAAACGATAAAGCTTGTTTAGATATACCCTATATAGACTGTGTTACTTATTATCTACATTGTTTATTAACTTACTTCTCAATTTTTATTTAACAGATGGTATATTATCTTATACAGAAAAAATTAATAATACTTTGATATCGACTTTTGAATACAGAATTATTGTCAAAATATGGTGGGGATTCCATCTTTAGATAAGTTACATGATTGTAACATCTTGTCTCATACATATCAAGTATTTGTGAGTCTGATCATTAAGCTGGTGTATACTGTAAGGCAGAAACTTAATCTTCAAATGAGTTACATCAGACCTCCTTGTCTAATCAGTGTATTTTATGAGACTTATTATCAAGTTGGTTACAAGCAGACTATACAGTATCCTGTTACAATAATAGTTTAATTGCTTGTTAAGATAAACACCATGTCTGGATCTGTGTATTAATGTGTTGCCCTTGTTGAATTTCTCTTCAATTTGATGATCACAGAAGAACTTATCCAAACCAGCCTCCCTGTTCATGATTCATGAGATTTTTTCGTAGTTTCTAATTTAAGAATTTTATTTTAGGAAAGCATAATTAAAGTTAAAAAGAAACCCGAGGTATGATTTTCACACATTTCAAGAAAATGTAAAGCAAATATTTAAAAGAAACAACATTTTTATGTATTAATAGTACAAAAAAACCCACACATAGCAAGATAGAATGTCTAAAGTTTTCTGTCTAGCACTTTAAAGATCCACTTTAATTAGCCACACTGAAGTGAAACTGACCAGTTTTTATTGTAGACAGAAAGGATTAGAAATATTGTCACTCATGTTAACAACAGTAACTAGATGATAATAATATGATTATAATTAATATAATATGAATTTCCATGAAGGAATGCTTTTTTTTTATAGTACATGTATATTTATACTAAAAGTACCTGGTATTATTAACCTTGCACGGCATTGAAAAAAAATAGTAAAATTCAAATTCTAACTGCTATGCTTCCAAAACTTTTAACTAAATAACTGTATGGAATATTCATTTTAAAGTAAATTGAGAAAATTTACTTGAAGAAAGCTGAAATATAATGATGTCTAGATGGAATTCTTTGACTATAAGATAGATATCAAGTAATGATAAAGTACAACAGCATTTATAGATGGAATGGGGCATACAAAGCTTTGTCATGAAAGTTATAAGTTTAAATGGTTGCCCATGTATATAGAAGACCAGTCACAGATACTCTTTTGTCTGACAAAATTCCACACACATTTTGTTAAACACGTATGTGCTTCTATGGCAAGCTGGCTATTTTTACAGCACTGTTGAATAAGACGAAGCTTACAAAGTGTGACATTGTGTGGGAATGAATTAAGGTAACAATTTACAAACCATACATTAGTAAACAGCATCAACAGATAAGCAACAGGAAACTGACCGGTCACCAAAATTAATATTACTATTACATGTCAAACTATATGGAAAAAGGTAACATTTAGACTTGCAACTCCATCATGGCTAGGAAAGGGGGAGTAAGAATTTCAGGACCACTCCCCCCTACCCCCATTCCTCGTACCCAACTTCCCACAAAAAAAATATGAAAAAAACATACAAGACAAATTGAATTGAAGCAAAATCCAAGAATATTTTTGTCAAAAAAACTACTGTATTTTCCCAGTTTATGAAGATACAGGCTGATTAATAAGTTATGAGCTTTTTTATTTTGAATATTTTTTGAAATAGAAGAATTAATTTTGAGAATATTCAACCAGTAACAAAGAGATGAAAGTATTTGTATAATTCTAAAATCACTTAACACCTTGAATAAATGTGTTAAATAGCTGTTGACCTAACAGGACTGTAAAAACCAACATTTCAACCTGAAAATAGATCACTAGACAGTATGTTGAGAACTGTTTGTATCAAGATGTGATGCACAATTGGTACAAACTTGGACAGCTGGAAATACAACTCTTTCATCTTACAAGCTAAATATACATGTTTCCAACAAACAATAATATGTAAATAAATAAAAAAAAGTGGTAAAAAAAACTACATTTATAAGGGAAAGAAAAAAAACATACCATATTTGGAAATAAGAATTTAAGGCACAAAAACATATTTGTATTTATATCATTTGTTTTTAAGTAAATTTCAGGACAAAAAAAATTTAAAAGAAGAATTTAATTTTCCAGTTCCAGACAGACACTAGTGTGGCAAACAGTCAGAAAAACATATATATAAGTAATAATTCAAACCAGAATATCAAAGAATGATCTAACTACAACAAAAGAGCAAAACACGTTATTTTTTTAACCGAGCAAACCAGACATGTGAGTCTTATAAAGGACTGTTACTTTGTTAGGGACCTTGCCAGTCAAAACTCAAACTTTTGAAAAGCAACCTAAACACTTTTCTTTATTTAAAAAAAAAATAATGGGACCAGTCAGTTTGCATTAAGCAGATCATTATATATACCAGCAGTACTCACCCGTGAGTCAGAGTCAAACAAATCCTCATGCATCTACGTTTAGAATGTGTCATTAACTAACTAGGAACACTACCGAGTAACATATTATTAGATAGACACTTGTTTGTATAATATATACATACACATATATCTATTTCCAGAAATATTTGCATTCAAGCATTTTTGACAGATTAAAGAATTTGTGTACAAACCTGTCTACAGAGGCCATTCACAAGGGAACAGAGAAAAATGGCCTTTATACACAGGTAGCTTTTATATAGATGTTTAATCACTACAAATTACATTACAAAGGGAAACAAAGGGTTGTCTTTATAGACATGTGGCATTTGTACAATGGTGACTTTTAAGACAGATTTGAATTTATCAGGCAAAAAGCAAAGATATTAATTACATGTATAGCTTAAGCCTGACCAAAGACATAACATGAACCTAGCCAAGAGAAGTGATTATGAGTATGATGAAATGAACATTAAATTTCTGTGATAACAGAATAAAGATAATTTAAGATCACAATTCATAAAGTATGTTGAAGAATATTAATTTTCTATTGAAGAATATTAGTTCAAACCAGTAAATAAATTTGTGTCTTGTTATACAGATTGTAGTCATTGTCTTGCAGCCCTAGTTTTCTCTCAAACTATGTATCTGCTTTGACTGGGGAACTGAGGTTCATCATCTGAATCCCACAATACAACTTATAAATTCAAGCTTCATTTACACAGTCACCTACATATACCCAAACTGTACTGGATGGATTTGGGATTTAACATTTATCAGTATTATTATAGAACATATCTCATGTCCATCAATTCATGAAATTCCAGAATTAGCCTGAATTTTTCCCTTCCTTTCTATTCATCCCCTGTTCTTACTCTTAATATGAACTTGAAAATTCTCAAAGAAATTGCTATAATAACTTTTAATTATCAAATCCCTTTGAGAAAGATCCATTCTGTATTTCTCACAAAATAGTCATAAACTTTCATCATCAAAATTCAAGATGGCTACCTGTCAGCCATTTTGTTTATTTGATCAGCCTTAACATCAAAAGGGTACAACTTGAGACCAATGAGAACCTATTTATAAAATTTGAGATAGATCCAACCAGTACTTCTTGAGAAATAGTGATAACACCCAATCTTTCATTGTCAAAATCCAAGACAGCCACCTGTCTGCCAATTTTTTTGTTATTTCTATAATCAAAATGGCACAACAAGGGACCAAGGGGTCTTCATATGGGTTTTCAGTAAGATCCATCTAGCACTTCTTAAGAAATGGCAATAACAAGATTTGGTTACAGATGGACGATGGACAAAGGAAGATGGACAAAGGACAATAGACAAAGGACGATGGACAAAGGACGATGGACCACAGATGTACAGCAATTTAAATAACCTCCAATAAGATGGTGGGCTAAAAATAGTAATATGATGCAATAAAAGCAAGGACACTGCAAAGCAAGGAATTCCCTTCCAACAGACAACAATTTTTTATGTATACATTTGAAGAAATAACAGGAAACACAAACAGTAAATTATTGCTTATTTGTATGGTTTACAAATAAACCCTGATATTTCAGGGTGTATTGTGTGATATCCCATCAAATTCGGTTGAGTAACATTTCTTCCATAGAATGTTGCAGACAAAGGTGTTATCAACATTTAGCTACACGAACCTTGACCTTTGACCCATGATCCTCACACTTGATTTGGACTATTAGTTGTGTTCAGTCTCATTAGAATAGCTTGGATATTTTTCAATTATTTTTATAGATGAGACTTAACTACATTCAGTTTAAATGATCTTTTGACCTTGACAAAAGATTAATATCAATTATATTACAGACAAATAGTATCCAGAGAGACACACATACTCCAACATTCCCTTTCTCCAAATAAGGATATTTCCAAATTGAAACTAGACAAAGAAAAAAACTTTAAAAACAGTGACAAGTCCTTTAATATAACTGTTAAATGAATATAAGATACCACTGGCCAATGCTGTGTCGTTACCTGATAATAAGCCCATCCCCTGATTTTATAGGACTATAGAGGAATGCTGGTCTAACTGCTTATTAATAGATAAATATAGTATTTTGAAAGTAACAAATCTGTCTTCAAAATGGAAAAATAAGAATAGCACCGCCATGATAAAACCATTTAATGTTTATAATGAATTATCTCTCTTTACAATGAAACCTATTTTTTTCTCATTATATATAAATACAAACTACGTTGTAATAAAATCAAAGCCATGACTAGGCCTGTACACTATATACTTACAGTGACACGATATGCTGAAGAGTCTGAGAACAGGTGTAACTCATCAAACGACTTGGACAGCATGTCAGGGTCATGTTCTTGTACTATAAACAGCCGACTGTCATTTGGTGACCTATGATAATCAAATCATGAGTAATCAAAATCATATTGAACTACCTGTAGACTCCAATTCAAGGTACCACTGGGCATTTTAAAAGGATATGCAAAAATGTATACAATACATAATTCCATATAAAGCATATTTTTCATCTGGATTGATCTGTTACAGAAATGTGTAATATCAAGTCTACATTCTGTACTTTAAGCTCTAACTTAGTTAGACATGAACACAACCCAACAAAATGGTTACAACATGTGCATTTTATTACACAGAATGCAACACCATGTACGCTATCTTCCAATTAATGTCAAAGAACATTAAGAACCAATTATGTGCTATCTTACAGAAAACAGACTAAAGTATATTCCTAAAATTTTATATATCAGTTTTTAAAAATTTACATAATCATATCTGATAGATGTGAATTTGAACCAGGACAAAAAATGTACTAAACAAAAAAAAAGCAAAAAATGTGTCCCCCCCACCTCCACCGACATTTCATATATCATAATGATGGATTCAACAGATAACATTGAAACCCCACCTCTTGATATGAATGTATTTGCCAATCTGTTGAAGTAGAGCCTTGCTACCTCCACTGTGGAAATGTAGGGCAGGATATGTCGTCCCATCTTTCAGGATGAAAATAATGTATGCCCATCCATGGTTTGGTGCATTCCTTTTGAAACTTTTCAAATCCATTATATCAAAACTGACATTGTATCTCTTTCTTGATTCTGCTTTTGAACTCTCTGTATTCAACAAAAAAAACACAATAAGCAATATGGTCACAATGTAACATTTATTTTCAGTGTTGAACAATGTTTCTAGTTAGTTAAATTCGATATTTTAATTACCTTACTGATAGGCGACACTGCCTAACAATGAGTCTGTTTGATAAAAGGCTGTTTCGTTACGTAACTCAAGTGGTTTATATGTTATTTCAGAAGAAATTTCATAGATATATTCAAACCAGTCCAGTATTTTTTATCTACATGCAAGATATTTTCAACCCATCAGAAGGTTGGAAGTCTTAGTCCTTTCTGCAGTAAAAGTTTGAGCTATCTGGCTGTCAAAGGCTGATCAAGGCTGTGCTTTACTTACCACTGACTACATTGTCCTTGTCTGGTTTGTACCCTACAGAACATGTTGTACCAATCACAGCCCATTCCTGGTCATTCTGATTGCTATCTAGACTTTGAACATCTTCTGCCTTCCATTCAATAAAATTTCCTTCAGACTGTAAATTCAATCAAGAAACATCATAAATGTTCAAAAAAAAAAAAAAAAAAAAAAAAAAAAACAAAAAAAAAAAAAAAAAACAAAAAAAAAAAGTATTTAGATAATTATTCCTGATGGGAAAATGAGGTATCACATTAATCAAGTAATCATTCTATGTCAAGTGATCTCATTAATGACTGGAATGTTTCTTTTTATAAGACGATAAACCTAAATCTGTATTATGGGTGAAAAATGTAATTTTCATGATAGATCTACTTCCAAGTTCAGAAAAGATTAGATATTGTTGATAAAAAACTTATTGCTGACACCAATTCATGTAAAGTTAAGTATGAAATAATGTTAAGTTTTACATTGAAATATATCCAGTCATTCTCAAAGTACAACGATGTTAAGTCAATGTTTAAATTTGATTTTGACACAGCCACATTGAGGAAGGAAGATGAACATATACTAAACAAAACAAAAATTTCCCTGTTATAAGTTATCATGTGCTTACCTCATGTTAGTTGATTATATAGATATTTTTCAGCTACTTACCGGTATGTGTTTTGGAGGAATCTCTGGATTGATTGACAACACATTGAGTGAAATTAGCTGATGTCAGGTGAGAAATTCAAAGACTGTCTCACAGAACAAAATAAATTCCCTCACTTTACTAAAGAATTGAGCAGTTGAGTTTTGTAAAATACTTTATGCACTATCGCAAAACATTTATCACTTGACAATTCAACATTTTGTTTAAGATTGTATAGATTAACACAATGCTGTTTCTGTTGAAAGAAAAGAGGGGAAAGGTTATTGGCATGCAACAAGAGACATTGTCAGTGGCAATTTAAATGCAATTTCGTATCCGGATGGAATTTTAGTACCAGTCACCATTCCATTTTCACAGTATCAAGGAGCTGGGTCTATTTTACATCACGATAATGGGACATTTCATACCAGTATCATGACTTCTACCTTTTTACAGCAGAACAATGCCCAAGTTTGGGATCGGCTTGCAAAATCCTTTGAACTGAATCCAATTGAGCACATCTGGGATGTTGTTCAAAGACAAGCACAGCATTGACCTAATCTGCACTCAGGGAACTTGCAGGAACTGATCTAGGTACATAGCAGAAGGAGTGGAATGCCATCCCAGCTCAAACCATTCAACAATATGCACAAGCTCTATGCACAAGCATTGTAACACTGTGTTCCCTGACAATAATAGTCACACAAGTTACTAACACCATTCTTAGAGACATGACCAACTCATGTCTTATACACCATATAAAGTCAATGAACGATAATGGATTATGGTTGGCATTAAAATACCAATATGCAGACATCCTTCTAAATGACTTGACTGACCATTTATTACATTTCATTGAAAGACTTACACTGTCAAACAAATCTAAAGTGGTTGCCTGCATGTTGGCCATTTTGTTTTTTGATCAGTCCAAAAATCAACAGGGCACAACTAGGTACCAATTGAAACCTATGTAAGAAACTTCAGAAAGGTACATCTAGTACTTCTCATGAAACAGCAATAACAAAAATAGTTCAATCAGTCCAGACACCAGACTAAGTATTGAAGGATGATGGATTAATCAACAGACCAAGGACACTGGGCAACTTGGACAGCACCTGACAATAGTGCGTTAAAAATAAAAAAATGCACAAGTACTGCACCTTATGAGTCAAGTAAACTCTTCCTGGTATATGAGCATCTTTATCGGCTGTTGTAGAATTTACATTTACATGAATGTAAACTCCATCTCTCTCAAATAAAACCTAAAAGACAAAACATAATCAAGGAATTAGCAAAAAAAAAAAAGAACAGAATATCTATTGGTGAAGCATTTACAAAAAAATCTGATAGTGCTATTGCATGTTTATTTGGCAATGAGGATATTTTTGAATTGTAAAGACAAATTATATTTTTGAATTGTAAAGACAAAGATCTGATAACATTGATGAAAGACATATTCTGATATCCTGTAACATATATTCATTTTTTTTTTGTCATTTTACACTAATTAACCCCAGTCATTATACAATGTTTTCCTTGTGTCACAAGTAATGCCATTACATTTCCTCTGCTGTAAACAACAGAGGTAAAGGGATTTACACTTTAGACTTCGGGAGTATTCAAATATGTAAGACAAAAAAGATAGAAAGTCACTCGAATACTAGATAACATCACGGTTTGTTTCTGTGTTGTTTTCTTATGAATTTGTATGTAATATGTCGGCCCTAATAGATGTCTATACACAATTTGGTGCTGCAGACAAAAACATTTTGCTATTTCAAAAGGATATTGTGACTTATTGTCAGAAAAACCAATCATTATACATCAACGAAATGGCTTTGGGTGAAGTAAGTCTCATTTATAGCGTAATTATTTACTATTGTCCCGCCCCCTTTTCATATTTCAGACAACTATCAGAGTATATATTACAATGTGAAAAGTGTCTTAATCTCTATTTGTTTCCTGTCAAATAAGAACGAAGTGAGTGAAGCGATGATGGACTTCTAAAAAACTTTTTTTTTTTTGCTTCATTATTTACTTTCTGTTTTGAATACTTCTGTAATAAAAACAAATTTCTATCACGTAAACATTCATTTGCGACCAACATCGTGTCAAATATTTGCATCAGTTTATAACAATGACACCAAACAGATTCTGTTATGAATACAAGTTATTTATGGGTTATGAATCACGATACATTCCCGATGAGATTTCTGCATGTTATGATTCCAAATGTCAAATATATACAACGAAGACTTGGTCACTCAATAACCAAATCTGTACTGCAGTACTGCTTCAGCCGACATGGTAACGTCCACGTTTGAACACATCAAAGGGGCTGTTAAGAACAGTCTCTCATTATGCTGAAGACAGTTCAGGAAAACGTTCCTCTCTAAAAAAAATCGTAGAAACACTTATATCTACCTGTGACTGCGAAGCCATCCTTCTGTGTGTGTGTATGACGTCAAGTTAATCATGAGGGTCACCTGTTGCCGCTCATATCATATCAAATAAATCATTGCGGAAGTATGTAATCGTCATCAGATGTTCAGAAAATAAGTTATGTCTAATTTGATTAAATTACGTTCATAATTTTAAGCATATTGAGAAGGAAAATGGTAACGAAATTTGCAAACCTTGGTATTCATATGGGCAATATTTTGATTTTTGTAATGTTTTGTGGGACAAGAATCCATTCGGACCATTTCTTGGTCGACGTCTTAGTTAAAGTAAAAGCCGAAGAAATTCCGTTGACTTGCTCACATGACGCAAATATTCAATGAAAACGCCATGTTATGTATTTCTGGTTATTTGTCATGTTCTGTTGATGTAGAATAACGGCATTGATGAGACAGAAGAGGAGAATTTGATTCACGTGACAATTTCATTTTATCTAGCACTTTATGTTTCGACATGGCGGGCGCCAGTTCCGGTGGAGGGCGTAACTATTCGTTCAAAGTTGTATTACTTGGAGAGGGATGTGTTGGAAAAACGTCACTTGTCTTACGATATATTGAAAACAAATTTAACGACAAACATTTAACTACATTACAGGTGCATATTTGTCATTAAATATTACATAATTATCTATCTGTTCAGATGAGATTTAACGGTTATCTGGAACTCTTCTATTTTGTTGGCATGTACCTAACACCTATATAATATGACCTACATTATATGAAATACATTTGTATTGCTTGTGTCATTTTACCAAGAGAGTGATCAATATGGTATCTAATCCATCACAACCAGCTTGATTATGGAAGTTCTGCACACCATCTGTTGCACAATGACACACACACCTACATGGATTTCTACATCCATAGCAAGAATAACTGGACTTGTACAGTAAAGAATAGGATAAACGCAGTGCTGTACTGATAAAAATTTCTCAGTTTCTCAAATTTGAAATTGGAAACAACTATTTGATGAGAATATCAAACTTGTTTCTTGTAAAGATGAATTAAAACAATGTATATCATAAAAGCAAACTGTCGTAACTGTTAGAAGGCCATGATGAACATTGCTACCATATATATAAAACATAGAAAAAGTGGCAGCAAATGCATCAGATGGTGCTTTGCATTAGTGGCTATAATCGCAAATCACTAAGTCCATTAAGCTAGGCTGAAACTTCAGCGCTCTCAGTATTTCGTGAATTAGGGTTTTATCTCTAGTCATGAGGAAAAAGTGATAGTCTTAAGGGTTTATTTCATTACTCTTTTCTCTCTGGTGATAGTGATTTCCCTGTGCAGGTTTTGACTGCAAGAAACATTTGTTTCCATCAGTTGGCATCATAATCAAAGCTCAACAGAGCTGAATGTGTTAATATACGACCATGTATTAGATGAAAATAAAGACATTTTTATTCCTTTTCATTGTCCTGTAAGAAATCCATTTTTCATCCGAATAATTAGAACCAAAACTTCGATAGACTTTTGTGATATAGATATTTCAGGTTCCTGAACTTTTCTTTTCCAGGCTCCTTCACCTTTAAATTTTCTTACATTAATATTTCATTTGTAACCTGTTTTTCATAATATTCATTGAACATAGTGGGAGCAGCTGCTGCAGCTCATTTTAGTTTAAAATACAGGACATATTGAGTGAAAATGATCTTACCCAGTACCTCATTGTATAATTCAGAATTTGTGCTAATATGAAAGCAGCTGCTTCATTATCATCTCTCGTGTTTCTTATTATAAAAAACTAAGATACATTTTTGAAATGAAAATTTGATTTTCCTGTTCAATTATTTCAGGCTTCCTTCCTGAATAAAAGATTGAATATTGGAGGGAAAAGAGTGAATCTATCAATATGGGTAAGTATTGTCAGTCTATCAGTATGTAAGATATCAGGCAACACTTGAATTACATGATCTTGTCTTATAACATGATGATATATATCTTACACCTACTTTTGATGATGTTCTGATCAATGACAGGAGTACATTTCAATGAGGCATGAACATATAGTTTACAAGCACAGTGTCACTCTTATTTTAAACATGATTTCCTTTTTTTTTTCTTTTTTTTTTTTTTTACAGACAGAAATGTATGTCATTAGAGATGCATCAACCAATACTGGTTAGGCATGTGACCATTGATTATTGCCAATCAAAATAGCCAGATAACTCAATAATGATGAATTATTTGTTTATTCAAAGCAGTTTTCTGTAGTGATGTATGTATGATGGACACAAAAAGTTGAGAATCATAAATATATGTAAGTTTTTTTCTGCCATTAAGATAAATTAAGTTTGACATTCCTTGACCACTGTTTTATGACCAATGTATGCACAATAACTTTTCAGTGATGATTTGCCTGTGCAATCTACAATAATCGTGTGGCCTTACATCCTGTAAGGTAGGGTTCAAATCAAACTATCAACTGTGGGCTGATTGAAAGTCTCTGTGGACTTGATGTCAAATTGGTCAAGAAATTTTGTGTTTCTTCTTAATGTCTTGTCATTTTTCATCCTGTTTTGAACATTTGTTAGCATGAGATGTCATGTGATTGTTGCAAAGACTGGGCAAGCAGTCAGGATGCTGCAAATAGGACAATCACAATGAACTTTGGCTGCAAACTTTGGCTGCAAACTGTGTCACAGAGTGTTATTTCTCAATTATGGAATTGATTCCAGATGACTGGAAAAGTCAATGAGAGACTTTGATTGGGTAGACCAGGGTATTCACCTACCTGTCTGGGTTGTTTTTAAGTATTCTTACTAGGCAAAGTCCGTTTTCAAGTTCCATTAGGTAGAATGACAGTTTCTGCACCAACAGTAAGGAAGAGACCTTACAGCTTAGGATTATGTGCTCATTGTCCCACTAAATACTCTCAACAAACAAGTTATCATCATATTGCTCGGCAGCATTGGGCAGCTGACAACGTTAATTAACTACTGTATCAGTGATGACTGCATTAGTGGCAACCTATTCATGTTACAGATGGAGTGGGTGAGAGGTATGTTGATTGCTGCATCACTGAGCATTACCATTTCGGTGGGGGCTCGGTGATGGTTTGAACAGGGGCTTGTACGTGATTGAAGGTGGTATCCTTACAGGTTTATAGTACCAGGTTGAAATTCTCCAATTGTAAGACCATAAGGGTGCTTTCATCCCTGAGGTTGTACTAATGGATGACAGTGCTCAACAGATCTAGACTTATGAATGAGTACCATCTAGCAGAAACTATCGAGTGTATGGACTATCGGAGTCTTTCACCCGACCTCAACCCAATCAAGCATGAGGAGGACATATTACAGCAGTGTATTACTGATTGTCTGCGGCTTCCTGTCAATTGACAGGAGCGTGCTGATGCTCTTTGTCAAAAATGGCCATGATTTTCACAAATGGCTGTACAGCACCTGATTCGCAGCACGCCAAGTCAACATCATGTAGTTATTTGGGGTCAATGGAGGACACACTTGCCATTGATAGTGTTGCTGAACCCACAAAAGCATTTTGAATTTTCAGCACCATTTGGATGTGAACTTTGTTTTATGGGGCAATGAACATTTTATGTAATCACGACACACTTTTCAAAGCAGATCAAAATTGTTTTCTTATTATTTAACTTCACTCTTGTATTTCATATTCCAAAAGTTTTTGCCATTATGATCAAAATTTATCTTTTAAAAAGTAATCCCTAACATATATATAAATACAAATGTAACAAAGAACTCAAGGTAATTCTTGTTCACATTCAGCATTTGTTGCAAATTAGCCAAAATCACACACATGTGGATAAAAACTGTTACAGTGTAAAGCTCTCAGTACATAAAAAATTACAATGTTAAAGTCATCAAATTAGATACAAATGCTGTGAAATCTGGACTTTTTGGTGAAATGATACAAGTGATTTATGAAATAAGACTTATATTTGGAACTGACATGGATCTTAAAAATTAACTTTTGAAGGTGTGACTCTGATGATGGACAATTTATTCAAAGTTTCCAGGTGGATTTGTGTGTACTTAAATACTGAAATCAATAGAATCTGATGAATTTTTTCTTTGAATTGAGAAAGATGTTCAGAATTTATATTTTTTTTTGTAGGATACTGCTGGACAAGAGAGATTTCATGCCCTGGGGCCTATATATTATAGAGATAGTAATGGAGCCATTCTGGTCTACGATATTACGGACGAAGATTCTTTTCAGAAGGTAAATGATACAAATGAATATTTGATAATTAATTACCCTAATGGACATATTTTGTTCATAGTTGTTTTGTTCATGGTTCAACATGTATACTTACAGCATAAATTATTGCATCAGACAAGGAGGGAGAAATCGTTAAATAAAAGAAATCAGGTAGTGCTTGCAGCTAAAAGATGAAAGAGTTAGACTGACTCCCATTGATGCAGTAATGGCAGGAAATAAGTCTTTTCTTTATTAGCCATAAGAAGACAAAGAAGAGAAACCTCTATCTCTACAGGGAGGCTTAAATACAAATATGGAAGTCTGAAATCATTTGTTCATTTATCAGGGTAAAGGGAATTAAGGAATACAGCAAATCTTTTCTTTCCTAAATCTGTAAATGGTGAAAATTAATATGGTGAACTGAAATATATATATTGAAGTCAAGCGTTGTTTGTCATTCATTTGTTAAAGAATGTACCAGTTATGCATTTGAAATTTAATATTGTGTTTTCTGGTTTTTTTTTTTTTTTTTTTTTTTTTTTCAACATGTGGAACATCTTTTGAAACATTGAATGTGAATTAGTTATATTTTTAGTTCACATGTGAAAAATAGTGTTATAGAACTATGTTGAGCGTGTGTTTTGTCATTTACAGGTGAAGAATTGGGTAAAAGAACTAAGACGAATGCTTGGAAATGATATCAATTTATGTATTGCTGGTAACAAAATTGACTTAGAAAAGGAACGACATGTTTCAGTAGCAGAGGCAGAGGCGTAAGTAACTAAACTTACAACTATGTTGTACATCATGTGATGTTCCAGTAGTGTGTTAGTTTTACATCATGTGATGTTACAGTAGTGTGTTAGTTTTACATCATGTGATGTTACAGTAGTGTGTTAGTTTTACATCATGTGATGTTACAGTAGTGTGTTAGTTTTACATCATGTGATGTTACAGTACTGTGTTAGTTTTACATCATGTGATGTTACAGTATTGTGTTAGATTTACATCATGTGATGTTACAGTGGTGTGTTAGTTTTACATCATGTGACGTTACAGCATTGTGTTTAATACATCCTTTCCTCGTCTTATAGATATGTTAATAATTGCTGTTGATATTAAATTGAGATTGCTTAATGAGTGGGAAACAAACTTATTCTAAATAGATGTGTACATTGATGACCATTATGAATTACAAGGTAATGTAAGGGGAGATAATGACTGTTCTCTATGAAATGAAGAGAATACATCATTTTCCTTGTCTGCCCTTCCGCTACATTTTGGTATCTAAACTTTGTATTCAGGTCTGTTTCTCAGGCCAAGTTTTTCTAGAAAGCTGCTGTGTTGCAGAAGTTCTATCTGGACTAGTTAACCATAAGTGCTCTTGAATGCACCTGGCAAAAAAAAAAAAAAAAAAACAATAATAAATAACAGACAGAAAAAAAAAGAAAAAGTAAAGGAAATGTTGTTTACTGTATCAAATTTGCCCCTTCTTATATGGAATACGGTATTGGTGGAATATTCTTGGGATTCGGTATTTGATTTTCCCCTGGTCCATAGTTAAAGCACAATTTTTCTACATGGCAGAATAAGAAGTTTTGTATTTTTCTCAATGTTTGGCAATGTCCTCAGAATTTTTTGTTGGAGAAGGAAGAATGCTGAGCAAATTTGTTTTGAAAAAAGATAAGTGCCTAATCTTACTTCTGGAGGGGTATTGGGTATACATCATATTATATGGTTTGTACCTACTGAAAGGATTTAAAGGGCAAATTCAAAAACAATTTACTGTATCATATGGTCAGTACCAACTGAAAAGCTTTTAAGGACAAATTTAAAGATAATTTATTGTATTATATGGTAGTACCGCCTGAGAGAATTCAAAGGACAAGTTTTAAGATAATTTGTTTTTGATGACTTATTTGGGTAATAGACATTGGATGTTAAATCAGTTTTTTTTCATAAGAGATTTTATGAAACATTTCTTAATAAGCTTACTTTGTGTTAGCCTTCATGAGCAAAAATTAAAACTTTGCGATGAGTTTCATAAAATCTCATATGAAAGGAAAATTGATTTTAATTCCAATGTTATTACATTACAAGTTACATTTTGGCACATTTTAACCCTTTCGGCACCAAATATTTCTCACAATGTACAGCTCAGCGCTAAATATTTCTCACAATGTACAGCTTAGTGCCAAATATTTTTCGAAAAATATCCGAAAACAATGGCAAAAATTGTCAACTAAAGTCGCCTACGGCGGCCTGTCTGCATGTCGACTTTAGTCGCCTACGGCGGCCTGTCTGCATGTCGACTTTAGTCGGCTACGGCGGCCTGTCTGCATGTCGACTTTAGTCGTCTACGGCGCCGAAAGGGTTAAAGAATAAAGTGGAGTTCAAAATCACACAGAGACAGCCATATTGTTGCACCATTTTCAATTCATGACGTAATGCCTGTATTACGATATTATAATCAGTTTTTGTTTGACATAGCCAATGAAAAGCAACTCTAGGGTATATTATTCCAGTGATCATGACATATACGAGAAATATTACATTGGAATTCACTCATACAGGGGTATTGTATGGATATGTCGTCATTCCATTAATGTTTGTACAGTGCTGTAAAGAATGTTAATACTGTAAATTATGGACCATTACAGGTATGCTGCCTCAGTTGGAGCACAACATTTCCACACGTCAGCTAAGCTGAACAAAGGTATCGAGGAGCTCTTCCTAGACTTAAGTAAAGGTAAGCTACAAACATGATTAAGTGATATTCTATATCTAATAAAATTGTGATGAAGAAATCGTGAAGCATCTTTCTGAAATGTGTTTTGAATATATAATACTTTGTGAAGATATTGTTTTCTGATGTTTTGAGAGGACATTAAAATGTCTCAGTCCATTAATGCCATTCTCAGGTGTTTCAAAAGGACATTGCATTATCTCAGTCAAAGATATGCCTATTGCATTGAAAAATTGGAAATACTCAAGATTTATATTCATACACTTAAATCAGTAAAAAAAATAAAATTCAACATGTTTTAACAAACATTTAAGAAAATTGAGAACTTAAAGATATTCTGATTTTGATATTAAAATTGATAACATTCTTACAGATAAAATTTGTACATCAGCAATATGAATATGATAAGTTTGTACCATTAGATTATGTGTTTTAAGTTCATGTTTTGTAGATTTTCATTAGCATCCTTTAAAAAGTATGCCATTATATTGTCTTTTTAGCTATGATACAGAGAGCTGGAGAAGATAATCAGAAGAATTCCAAAGGCAACAGAAAGAGTGTGTTGGTTGTTGATGATGACGAGCCTCAGCAGCAGTCTAGTGGAGGATGTTGTGGGTAGTTGTTACCATAAATCATTACTTGTGGTCATCGCACAGTACATGTTGTCTTTCAGAACTTCAAGTGCATCTCCATTCCAACACAGAATGACATGGCCTAAAGGAATATTAATGTCGGAGATTTTCATGACCTTTCCTTCAGTACACAGAAATTGCCGGTACTTGATAGAGATTACATATCAAATTAAGAAGGAAGGTAACTTAAAGTATTGCAGACAAATTCTTATAAGTGTTATTCTCATAATTTTTGTGAAAAAGTTTTAGTTTGTGTAGTGTTAAATTTGTAGTTGCAGCCATTGTAAGATTGACAGAATGTCTCACATGCAGTGAAAAGAAGACTAATGAAAGCATTAGTCAGATTCAAAAATGCTATGTAAGTTAAAATTAACAACAGTCAAATTGCTTGATTGCTTTATGATACGGGATAACTACAGCAAATTAAAGGGAGATAATTTTCCCTGCATTTGTAAAATGTGAATTCGGATTCTCCCGTAATGAGAACAGGTTTTGGAGAAATGAATTTTTTTTCTTTCTTTTGCTATGTAGAATGTAACCATTGACCTTTATGATAAAAAATAATTTTGTCCCAAGCACAATTTTTCTGATAGAACGTTTTCTCTCCAAACAAAGATTTTCTGAGAATCTATTTTTAACTTAAGTATGCAGTATTTACAATATATGTAAAGCAAAGACAATCTCATGTGATTATGATATATAATTTGGATGATTATTAAAGATGCTAAAGCTATCGCAAAACTTTTTTTTCATGTGTTGGAGACAACTTCACAATTAAAAGATATGATTCGAACATTATCATTGGCCATGTCAGAAAATGTGGAGTGGTCCAGATCAATTTATCTTAAAAGAGATATTTTAAGCTTTATTGTGAAGCTGTCCAAGTTAATTACTTGCATGAGGTGTACTGATATGAATTTATCATATGTAATTTGCGGATGTTAAGTTTTGATGAAGAAGTTGTTTTCCCTTTTTGTTTTTATAAGGAAGGGAATCGAGATGTTCATGGTTCTGACTGCCATTAGGTTGATCAGTTCTTTCATGATGGTGATCAGATCATTTTGTTATCATGTTAAGTATTTAAGGTATAAGCTTCATTTTACTTAAACTTGATGTTTATGTTTTGGTGCCCGAAGTTTATATTTACTACATGCTAGATTTAAATTGAGATCTGGGCTGTAATTTCTTTATTTCTGAAAATGGTCTAAAAGCAGTTTGTAATACATTTTTATAAATCTGAACAAAAATAATTTTAAAAATACTACAATTATTTAATCATTCTTGTGCACTTATGAGAGATAAATTCATTAATAAACAATGGAAATCACATGATTTTTATTTTTATTTAATTATGTTTTTCTCAATTGAGTGAATACTTCTTCAACATCAAAATAATTATCCATGTAATAGATTCTATGAAATTTCAGAGTAAAGATGTAAATGAATAATGAAGTAATTAAGTGTATGTCATTTTATTTTCCTGAAAAAGTTGGGCTTTGTTTTAAACTATCGCTCCATATTATAAGTATTTGCAAAGAGAACCAATTATGGAAACATTGCCTGGAAGTTGTTTCTTCATGATCTTTACTAGGACAGATCTCCTGTGTAGAACTTTGTTGATGATTGTGTTATACACAAGGAAATTAAAACAATATCATAGAACTTAAACCTCACTGTGTATTTATTTTCATATTTAATGAAACTATAATAATTCATTGTGGAATCACAAATACAGTTTTGGTGACATTTTGTAGATTACTGTAAATCTGGAAAAGCGCCTATATCTGATATTAAATACGCCCAGCCATGTCTAGTGTTGTTTTGTAGAATTGCCAACAAATACTATTTCATAGTCCTGTAATAAGCCCACCCCCTGACATTGAGTCGGGGATTATTTTTGGCATCCCTGGGCTTATTGCAGGATAGCAGTAAAGTGCTGCTGCAAGACAATGCGATATGCAGGGATCAACTGTACAACCAAAATCAAAAAGAATTGTTGTAGTTAACATATTTGTAAGTGAAAACATACCGTTAGATAAAAAATCTTGTGTCTATAAACAACAATTGCAAAAATGATTTATCTTAACTTATACTAATCACTCTTGTTGCCCTGGATGTTTGTGTAGGAGGTCTTACTGTTGAAGGTAACCTGAGTACCCAGTGAAAACTTGTGTGGCTTAGAAGATGACCCCTTACATAATTTATTTTGAAACAATTGCAAAACAAGTTGGTCAAGCAAGTGACCCCTTACTTTTTTACGTTCATTCAGTGATTTGAACCCCAGATGGCTAGGTGAAAGGTGATCATGTTACCACTGTGCCATCCAACAACACAAACTTGCGTCTGCAACATATTGTTGGAATATAAATCAAACTGGTATGATTCTAGGATGTGGTTAAGGATGTTATGTTGACATTCTGTGAGCTGTATCTAATACACATGATGTACTGGCACACTTGAAAGCTGGCCAGATTTATCTTACCTGGTTTGACAGATTTTTTGACAAACGTTAAAGATCTATGCTACCTTACACAATTTATCTGATTTTTATACTTTACCTATGAGTTGTATCCAAGCTATCTCCCATAAGATATTTTTCTTACTGACATGTCGTGTGAATTTGAAGTGTGTCATCAACTCTTTGTGTGCCAGAAGTTCTGTTGTACCTTTTAAATGTGTCATAGCATATGACACACCATTCAATTGGAATTCTTTTGTAAGGAAGAACTGTTGTAAGTAAGGAGGCTTATATCCTTAAATATCAGTTTCTGATAAACTATGAAAAGAAAGTCTGTTTTCAAGTCATTTTCATTTCTCATCGCTTGAATACCTGCATCTATAAAATTAATAGTTTAAGGTAAGTGCTGAAAAATTTTCATTATTCCACACCAACATAAAGTGTTTGTGAGTTTATACAATGTGTCTGTTGTCAGCTTTTTTGTTTACACAATGTTTTCTATAATTGGTAAGACAAAGTGTTGATACTTGGCCCATTGTGTGCTAGATTGGCATGATCACCTTCAAAGTTCTAGGTCAACTGTAGGAAAAACTTTTAAAACAACTTCATCTTAAGACCAATAAGGCCTAAGGTGTTAGTGCTTAGCCTATCACCTCCAGATGTGAAGAGCTCTCATGTTTGTCCAAATAAATAAACATGTATAATGATGATTAAATTTACACATCACTATGGCAAATGTTTTCAGATATCCCAGACATGTTTTAACTATTGGTACACACATCTTCAGTAATTCAGTAACAGACTACCAGGTGTTAAAGTATTTGGGTTTGAAGTGCTATATTGCTTGATATTATATTTGTTTGATTTTAATCTTGAACTTGATTTTTTCAAACGTTGCTTGACTTAAAGTTAACAAATACTTGGTCAATTATTTTTTGTTCAATTAATTACTCACGTTTGAACTAGAAATAAATCTGAACAAGTAAGCCATGAACAGATATTGGTGGTTGGCCCTATTTATCTAGTCACCCACAATTTACAGTGCCTGTATTATCAACAATCATCACAAACTTATTTATTTATATAGTCATGCTTTATCTGAAATATCTTAACTATTACTAAAATTATCATTCATGAGTCGGGAGTTCTCTGAAATGTTGATGTCAAAATGAAATTACGGTTTGACAGATGGTTGAGTTTCAAGTTTTATCAGTTGAACATAGTACTAAAATAGTGCTTATTTATAGCAGAAAATATCTAACTACTCAGACAGATGAATTTCATTAAATTTCCTTATTTCATGAGATAATTTTCACCTTTGCATTTGAATTACAATATTCTCACAGCTGTGAATATATAGTCATATGTATGCCTTGTTTGTGTAGAGTGGAACAATAACCCAAGCAGTCTGGATGGTGTCATCACAATTTATGGCCTGATAAGTGCAGTGGTTAAAGCCAATCTTTATTTATTTTAAAACAAGCTTGAAAAATGTTGAATTTTTTCATACTTGTTGGTTGCTGGAAGCACACAGGTAGAGGTGATTAATTATTCTCCCAACTTGGGCAGAGTAGGTTACAGAATTGACAAAAAATTATAAAATCATTATGTGTAAAACAATGTTAAGATTGTTTATTGTTTTGCGTCACATTCAAATCACAAGTGTTTTGGTAGGTAAATATGGCTGGGAGGCCATTTCTGGTTTGCAAAAAAAAAAGTAAAAAAAAAATCTTATGATAATGACATTTTTTGCCATTTTTCTTTAATTATATGAGGATAGCATGAAGTTTTATGAAAAAAAAAGAGAAATACAGTTTATCGTAATGGTTAAGTCAAAATTGCAAGTGTGAACAAAAATATAATTTTTATCCTTTTTGTGAAGATTTGAAAGCATTTCAACGGTAATATATTGGTATTTATTCCTATCTTTAGTCTGCTGTATTCTTTGTAAAAAAATTCTTGAGAATGTACTATCAAAAAGTTCTCAGTATTGTACATTTTTTATGGCAGATCTTTTCATCATAAACTTTCTGTTGACGAAATTCTCAAATCAGAATATTTTGCCCTAACACTGAGTGAACAGCACTACTGCATTATTGTTACATCAACATCAATCCCATTACCAGTGTGAAAATTGTGTGCTTGCACTCACCATACAGTTTACTGAATCAAAACAGGTATTGTTTGTGTAATGTTTGTTGAATCAGTGTATATGGTATGAATGTTATAAGATATTTTTTGATATGGAGAAAATTGTATATTCTAAATAGAAAACATTGGTATTTATGTAACGTGTACATAGTTTGGGAAGAATATACTTTGGAAAGAACAAGCAAGGATGATCTTTGTATGAAAGAAGAATGTGTCTGAAGGAGAGAGTGAAAAAAGTGAACAGAGAGAGAGAGGAGGGGAGGGGTGGAGTAGTGAGGAGAAGTAGGGGTTTCTGCTCTGGATTAATGATTTCAGAGAGAAAGGGTAGAGACGTATTTTCTATCATTGAGATGTAGGTTCTGGTGGAAAGGCATAAGAAAGCAGGAGATGATATTTCACGTGAGAGAGATGTATTTTTTTGTTTGAAATAGTCTTTAAAGCATAATCAGAGAAAAGACGCTTATTGATTATCAACTGCATTATACAGTACATCCTTTGATATCAGAAACATTCTGGTTCAATAAAATCATCATTATGGAAAATGTTTACTTGTTTTGATGTGTTATATATATCATTGTTGGTACAATTCACTTGATGGCCTTGGGTATCCTCCATAGATGTGATGTTGATACAAATAATGTGATTCATACTGAAGCAGATTTTCTGAAAATGATCACTACAGAGGGAAGAAAAACCTAACTGATTGCTTTTCTGTTTGATAATCAAATATTGTTGTAGCAGTTTGATTGCAAGATTTTTCAACGGCATGTGCAGTACAATGATATTCTTTGGAGCAGTTATATCATACCTTGCTCCACACCCACCTGGTTTAGGGTACATACCAAAATAAATGCAACCAAGAGATTTTTAGGGCGGTTGGCACAGAATTTTGGGAGTCGTATCTCTTTTAAGGCACACATATATTTATAATAAATGTTTTGACAAGCAGGATTTTCTATTTTGAACCAACTGCTTGTAACTCAGTCTTGTGAAGTGGCCAAGACCAGGACTGCTTACCTGTAGGTTAAGAATGATTATTTCAATTTTCCAATAAAGAATTTCTTTCATTCCTCGAGGTCTTTCTTTGTCGGGTGTGGCTTGTTCTTAATGTCACTATTACTGAGAAAAAATGTTGAATGCTTACAAACTCGTATTACAGGTTTGATTGGATGGAAAAGGGAAAATCATACAGACCTTATTAGTGCTTGTGTAAAGGAATCAAACAAAATCATACACTGATCATGATGTGAGCAGGGCCTTTTCAAATCTAGGAAACATTTTCCATATATTATAGAAGAAATTCCCTCAATGAGTTGTTAGGTGTGTGCTAAAGGCACAAACATATACCACTCTGATGTGGATGCATCATGTGCGATGACAAAGGGACCTACCAGAAGCGCGATGAGGGAGAGAGAGAGGGTAGGAGGAGGATGAGGGATAAACAGATCCCACGGGGAAAGTTAATGAAGACAAACATACGCTGACTTATAACCCGGAAGGCAATGTGGGTAGATGATGAATATGTCCCCGATAATCAACAGGAGGTATTATAACTTCGATTCGTGAAGAATTGCTTCCGTGGCCCTCTGAATTTCTACTGGGGAAAGAAGATTAGGTCAGAGAATATATTTGATGTTTTTAGTTGAAGAAAAGAACGGCGATGACTCTCAGCAATGACAGTTTGTTATTTTCAATCATAAATGTATCTGTAACGTGACGTTTTTTGAAGATGCTTTCCCTGCAAAATTGTATATTAAGTTATTCTCTTTCACCGACATAATGACAGTGATGCTTGGCAAATCAGAGATATTGTTGATTTAAAGATAAAATAAAGAAGTCAATAGTCATCAGTATTTCATTGGCTATATGTACATGTTTGTGTATAACATATTTTTTTTTCTTTGTGGTTGATATAAGGAGACGATTCAAACATTTCATTCTGGCTGTAGCCGTTATCAGTCTCGTAAAAGTTTTAATTACACAGGGTCCACCCGAGAGTAGACCTGAACCATTCATATCGATGTACGGACACATCCGGGGTATTTTTAACCAACTGTTGTTTGTATCTGTCTCAGGCGATTGCCCTTTTCTCTGAACCCTCTAGTGTACAGACTTTGCCATGCTCGTATATAGGACCGTGTGATTCCTCCATCTGCCTTGCTGTTACTGGAGCTGAAGATTCCTTCTTGTCCAGTGGCTGGCCATGGCCTGGCAGTTCAACAGCACTTGATTGGCTGGTAGATGGCGCAAGGGTGCTGGAGAATACCGTAGACAAGAGTCGCACTGGCCTAGATTCCACTGATGTGTCGATTACCACTTCGTCTTCAGATTGAACGTCAGTCGAATGGGTGCCTTTCCAAACGGGTTCCACGAATAATGTTGGGTCAATCTCATAGACTACTGGCCCCACTTGTGTAAAACATCTCAATTTAAGATTTCCTCAAGCCCAGATTTTCCTCAGCTAATATCTCCTTGAAAATATCTTGTATGAAAATTCCTCAAGGAATTTCAGGACATCCTAGCCGATGACTTCCTCCTGTTCCTTGAAAAAATTTCATACAAACCGTTTTTGAGGAGATATCAGCTGAGGAAAACTTCGACTTGAAGAAATCTCAAGTTGAGATGTTTTATACAAGTGGGGCCAGGTCTCTTAGTAGGACGGAAAAAGTAGTAACATCCTAACAAACACCTTCCCAATAGTGGCGCTGGACATTCCTCTGTATCATCCAAGCTGTGTACATCCGCTAGGTCCTACATGTAAGAATGATAACGTATACTCATACTGTTTAGTTATAACACACAGCAGTTTTGTGATATAATCTCTGTTACTGAAGTATAACTCCACAATTAATACAAAACATTAATGTGATGCTTTTAAATCGATTTCCTTTAATACGACACAAAAATAAAAACATTTCATGTGTTTTCCTTTAGATCTATCATTTATAGTTCCATTTTATCGCTGTTTAGAAATTTTGCGATGTTCAAAGCTGTCCTTTCATACTTCAAGTCCTTTTGTGTTCAGAGCCATCAACATTGGGGAAAGGACGAAGCCTATTTACAACGCAAACAATTGCAATTTCCAAAATCCAAAGCAATTACTTCAAGTATATACTTACGTTTGGTTCTATTGAAGAAAGATCTACTGCAATATGACGTCGCTGAGTCATGACGTGAATTCAATATAACCAGATCGTACAACCAAAACCAAATCTAAAATAAAGCATCTCCAATTAATTTCATGACTATTTCAGCTGATACTGTAAACTCGCGCGTTTTCGTGAGTCTCAAATTTCGTGGTTTATAAAGAAAAGTCGTTGATGTATCGAATTATTCTCGGCTACAAATACGACATCAACTTAAACTCCCACGAATATTAATGATTTAACAGTAGTAATGCATAACTGTTGAATGTAATACTAAAGTATATATTTTAAATACTTTTTTGGTAAATAAATATGAACTTTCATTTCAGAGCCAGAAATCATGTTATGTGTTTGCAGTTATTGTGTTGATATTTCAATCAGTTCGTAAACCCACGCGCGTTTATTATAAAACTTCACTCACGAAAAGGTAATGTCATCATTTATGTAGCGTTACCATATCACAATGGATTACGTCATCGATTTTGACAAGCAGTAGTATGGCACATGCATAGAGTTCACCACATAACTTGTCTAAGAAAAAAAAACTAGTTAATAAAACATCACGATAAAAACTCATGTTAGGCTTTAAAATATACTCGAGTTGTAATATATTTGTGTAATAACAATAGATATAGAATTAACAGACGATAGTTTGGGACCTCGTTTTCAGGATTTAGTCGTGAGCCCGGTTGTTCTATCTAACACGACATCATGTTTTTATGTCCTAGCCTCCGTGACGTTTACATATGAAGTCCAAATGAATGGCAAAACGATACTAGAATCAAACTATTTCCGATTGAAATCTCCGCTTTTCTCTCTCTCTCTCTCTCACATATACATTGCACAAAAGGAAAATATTCATTGAATGTCAAGTATAATTTAGATATTCAGAATTTCATAATTCCTTTACAAAATTGAAGACACCCCCCTCCCTTCTCTCTCACTGTGTGTCTCTGTCTATCTCTCTCGCGCTTACTTTATAAGTCATTTACATAAATTGCTCTAAGAAAAGGAAATACAACTCACCAGTTTGTTCAACGCGTTGTGTGGAGAAATCACCTCTCTCTCTCTCTCTCTCTCTCTCTCTCTCAAATACACTGCCTCTTAAAAACATGAGCTGTTATTTCAAATTCTTTTAAAAATTAGTATTTAGATGTTCTAAAACAGTTTTATTCTTCTTTAACGATACATGTATTTAATACAATAACAAACAACAAATTGGTGCGGTCCGATCCTAAACCATATTAATATGTGTGAAGTACGCGGCAAATGCACCTCCTCATCTTAATTATGACGCCTTTTTTTCGTTCTCTTTGGATTTACCTCAGCCGCCTCCTAGGTTTACAAATTTAGCCCCTTAGCATCACTTACGAGTCGTAGAAGGACGAAACAGCTATATGATACATTTTAATTCAATATATGACTCTGCTGTGTCTAATTATATACAGCCTTGTTATACTGAAGTTGATGTATTGCTACATTTCCATAACGTTTCGATATTGAATCTCTATGATACTGAATTTCCCTTGTATGCTTATTACAAGATATTTGGATGTAATCTTACATTAAAAAAACCCAAACAAAACAATGTGTTCAACTACAGTTTTTAAAATGATGTAGGGTTTCCAGTCGTTATAATGATCTCATTGGGAAATATTGTCCTTATAAGATATGAAGTTGGACGTGTTTGATACCCGTGTTTCGTTTTGTCATATTTTGCATTAGTTTTATTAAATTGGAGTTTTTTTTATCATAATTCTGTTTACATGGTGGTATTTTGGTGTTTTCTGATGCATTTTGCACACGACAGATACATCTAATTTGACACGCCAGGGACTCGAGCTGGTACTCCTGATTCATCTGTTAGACCATCCTCGATACTCCAGGGCTCTATTCATTCAATCAGATCGGATTAATTTCCTCAGTACAAAAGTTTGATACTTAGAGAGAAGAAAAATGTAAAAGATCGCATTTGTTGCAACGGAACATAGATCTGTTTCACTGTAATGTTCACAGATAAGACAAGAAAGAAATGGTACCACACATTAATCAGGTCTTGCTATCATGCAGTGGCATAGAGAATGTCCATAGTCTGTTTTGGACGTTTTGACCATATATTGTATGTTACGTATATATGCATGAATTATTGTACCGAATATTTTGTGTTATATGTACAGATGATCACGACAGAAATACAAACATTGCATAGAAAATGAAACGAGATTTTATAAACATTTCAATATTTTAATATTCTTATCTCACTGTACATTATGAACATATGATTATGAAATAACGCATTGTTGAAAATCATTTAACTAACGTAGCATTTTTTTGATCAAATTTCCCCTAGATTTCGTCGTATATTCTTAACAGAATCAATGCCTCTGATGAGGTCGGCCGCCTTTTCTCCAATCATAATGCATGCGGCGTTTGTATTGGCTGACGGGACGTTCCTCATTACAGACGCGTCAGCCACGCGAAGTCCAGATATACCATTGACACTATAAGTAAAACGTAAACGTAACTTAATTACAATGTTTAAATTCTGTTAATCAAAGATATGTGTTAAATGGAATAATTATTGATCGAACCAAGAAAAAAAATCATGGAATCGATAACTATTGATTTATTGATATATTACAAAGAATGACTTACCGAAGTGAGGAATCAACCACAGCTGTTGGGTCGTCCGTAGTTCCCATACGACAGGTGCTTGTGGGATGGTATACCGTTACAGTAAAATGACGTATGTAACATTCCCAGAATGCATCTGACCGAAAGGTATGCTCAGCACATATTTGGTCCAGAGTTGATTTACTTTCAAGCTTCATTCCTATCTCTCGCAGGACTGGCGTGTCGATAAGTTTCTCAAGGATTCTCATTGCTGAAATAATGTAACTTAGTATTAGTGATAAATAACAATTATGTCAATCTACGAATAAAAATCCGGTTTGATTTGGTATAAGATATATGAGGATGTCCGTTAGCTCCAATTTTATACATCATACTGGCAGATGCTTGCTCTTACATGTCCTACAACTGTTATTTGGCGAAGAAAACTGTATTGGCAAAAGATGCAAAGAAATCCATTGATAACCAACACAGAAGATGAAAATAAAATATGTTATAGAGTATAGGTCAACAGATCTTCATTTCATCAAAAGAATTCTTTGAAATGATTGTACAAAAGACACACATTGTAAAGTGAATAAAACTTCGGATACAGCAGAGCCAAACAATGAATTCTGTCTCCTAAGACTCTTCAGTGATACTAAAAGCCTTAGCTTTTGAAGCTAGGTGGTGACTTAGATATACAAAATAATCAAAAGAAATGTGAAAAAACTAGATAGGGGATGCACTTGCCATGTAATTAAGTAAATTTCGGAATTCGTATACAATCGTATGTATGACAATTACAGAAAAAGTCCAGTACAGGTGTATATTCTGATCCGTGCTGCTATTGAAATCGTTAATATATAAAGATAGCTGGTTATCAGAGTTTACAAAAAAGTCTTTCCATCAGCATGGAAAATATATCACACATCAATCGTGAAGGCAATGATACTGATTTTAAAACACCTGATGGCCTATATCTCATTTAAAGTAAACAAGTACAGGTGATGAAGAACATGTTTTAACATGGAAATAAAGAATGTATATCAAATTACCAGTGAGATAAAATCTGTTCAGGAATGGCATGAAGACGACACATTATATTGACATAATACATGGCATTTGATAAAGATTGTACAAAAGACACACAAGTGTGAAAATAGTAGAGCCAAACAATTCATCAAACTGCACCATACAATATTTCGTCCTTCTAGGACTTGTTGATAAACTAATTATCAGACAAAGAATATAAAAGATTTTTCAACAGAGAAACCTACAAAGAAATTTGACTACTAAACAAAAACAAAAATAGACACATATTCTATATATGTAAATTTCGAAGTGCAAGAAACACAAAAAAGTCCTACAGAGTTTACAGGCCTGTTCCAAATATCACGAGTTTTGTGCAAAATGTCGCAAATTTATAGCACAGAGTTATAACAATCTGATATCCCAGAGTTACTGTCATTCGTTTAACTCTGATGGTATAGCGATAAGATTGAGAGCTGATGGGGGCCGAGAATGGGTCATAAATATTGCAGATTTATGGAAGTTATGGGGAAGTTGTGCTGTCGTCAAATAGATCCATTTGAGAAAATTTCTATTTCTTTGTGTGATATGAGACTGGACGTGTTTAATGCTCGTTGGTTAGCCTATTGGTTTCTTTGTTGTATACCTTGTTCTCATTTGAAACCGTGACAAGACCTTCTTCGATTGTCAAAGATTTACATGGAGGATGTAATAGATAAAGCAGAAGACGCTTACTCTTCCGGATTACCTGGTCAATATTTTCCTTGTGCTTTTTTCAGGAGTCGACAATTAATATCCTAATGATATTGATGTTTACAGTAATATGTGTTACAGACCTGTAGCAATAATACTTGTTTGTAAAGCTTTACATGTTATAATATATGTGATATGCATTTCTGAAAAATAATCCCAACAACAACAACAACAACAACAACAACAACAACAACAACAACAACAACAACAACAACAACAACAACAACAACAACAACAGTTTGTACCTATTCTTAACAAAATGTTTGATCATAAGAATTTCTGTTTTTTTATGCATTGATCGAAAAGTATTTTTTCTATACTATCACACGCACCTGATACGAGAGTTTTGACATCATCTAGGTGTTCCAGGTACTTTGGATCTATGTCGGGATGGTCGAAGGGATCCCTACTTTTAAGACGGATTGTTCCTTTACTTTTAGGATGGAGGAGAGTGGGTAAAAATGATATTGTCTCATTGGCTGTATCATATGTTAGTATCTTGTCCATAATCTGAAAATTTTTAATAGGCATTTACCAAACTTGTAAATTTTCTGCGCAAAGGAAATTTTGTTTAATTTCTTACTCAAATGGTTTATCATTTGAATTCTTTTGAAATGAAGCTAGTAATTAAAAAGTAGATACATTCACATTTTAGATTTGAAGATATGAATATTATTAAGTTACAATGTATATTTATGAATTATGTCTTGTTTACGATTGTGTTGTGAAATAATTGAAATGTTTTGTGTATTTATAATGATGTTGAAATCCCAACCTTGAATGGCATCTAGTCACTTAGAATGATTTTATCTTTAGTACGATTATTTGTCTACTGTTGTGGTCGGGTAACACTTACGTCATCCCTGTAATTCAAATGCATGTGCGGTCTAGCTTCTTCTGTCAGCCCATGTGCACTCAGGAAATGAAGCTGTATATCTGGACCCCGCCCAGCATCCTTAGTTGCACCATCCGTGGTATATACAAACCCCATACCTTCCAATGTAGTTGCCGCAAAAAGACCTTATAATAAAAATGTTAATTCATTGAGAACATTTTTCTTTTATATATGTTCTTATTTAGTGATGTGACATTACTTACTTGGATTTACGCACATTTATATGGCAAATGTTGTCTATGACCCATTATCTTTATTTCCTTGTGCCTTTTAAAATATTTCTTTGCAAATCTTTTGTTCTTATTGTGCCCCGTTCATTCCGTTGACATATCGAGTCTTTATTTATTTCCAACATCAAAATTCTTTCCCAAAAGACATGCAGAACTTAAAATTCTAAAATGATTTTAAGATACCCGAGACCTATTGCGATCACCTTTCGTCTGGCTTCCGTTAACAACTGACATTTTAGCCTCCCATCCTCCTTAAACATACCTGAAACCATCTTAATGATTCTTAATGATAAATATTCCGAAGCCAAAATGTGAACATTAATTAGAATTAAACTCCATAAAGAAATTTTGGGATACAATAACATAACATCATTCAAAAACTGTATTCATCACTGTAAGATATGTGGTAGCTATGTTTGAACACATATTTATATTTTGCCCAATAACTAAATTCACTTTCCGTATTTCATTAATGTCCATTATAATTAACAAGTTTCACATTTTGATATGAAATTATTATTATTGTTTAATAGTGTATAACAATTAGTTTAAGATTATTACAGAAATTATTATTATTTAATAGTTTATGCTAATTAGTTTCAGATTATTACAGAAATTATTATTATTATGTCATAGTGTATGACAATTAGTTCCAGACAATATCAGAAATTACTATTGTTTAATAGTGTATTACAATTAGTTCCAGATTATTATAGTACAAAATAGACGTATGCAGCATTTTACAACCATCCTTCATAATTAAAAGATGACGTATTTTCAGTATAGGCTTAACCATGGAATCTCATATTTTTTAACTGGACCTCAACACAGAGAGACAATAGGGCTGGAACAAAAAGGTGTATAAAAAGGTACCAAAACCAATTTCGCAAATATAGCTTTCAAAAGTAGTCAAAGTAAATCAAATCTTGTGAACAGACTAAAATATAACGTATTACATATGTTTATTGTTTCAAAAAGAGTAAAAGATTTACCATTCTATCATAAATCTATCTCTTGTGGGACGTAACACAGTCTAAAAATGTGTTTTGTTGTAAATGAGGCTGGTAATCGTTCCTCAATCTATACGACTGTGTAATGTATGTATAATTCATTCGAAGACTGGCAAGGACGAGACGACCTTATCTTTGCGCCTGCCTCTGTAACAAGGATACCATTCTCCTATAGTCGGTTTGATCGACTGTAATTTGTTGTCTATATACGTATTTCAATCCTTTTGCCATTGATGCGTTAAAAAGCGTTTACAAACAATTTAAAATATGTAAAATTATGTTTTAAATCTATCGGTGGTAATAACGAAGCCACTTTTGAGACACGATATCATTTTTCATTACCTGGTATTCACAAATGTCCCGCAATCCAGCAAAACAATTAGACTATTTCAGGAGAGAACATGTTGTAGTATTCAGGTTTTATCAAGATTTCTTTTACAAAAATAATGCTTAAAATACCTTATTTTAACGAACTCTTTAATATGTGTTTAAAGATATACCTGATTTAAGTAAAATATATTGTAATAATGTAAAAACATTGTTGGCCATCGACTCCGTCAATGCTGCACTGATGTTGATGTTCCGAACAACAGGTATGAGGATATGGTCCTGTAGGTTGTTACCCACCGGCAGATCGGCGACTACGTCTATCTGTAACATAGACAATAGACGAATAATAAAACTTCGATTTTCGAAGAGAAAGTTCCAACCATGTTACTGTCACTTGCAGTTTGATTGTAAAAAGAATGAGTTTTGAACATTCTATAACGAAAATTATTGAATCATGGGCAAGTGGACTTTTCATCTAGATTTTGACTTTTATCTCGGTCACATTGGATTCTCTTTAGTTTTCTCCATGGTTTCAAAGTTTCGGCCTTTAACACCACCGATGATTCCTAGAAAGGCGAAACAGCTTGGCTTTACTGTGTCTTACTAAGTAGAGCTAAACAAGTTGTTATTCATTTGTGTATCTTTTGTATGTTATTGAAAACTCTTCAACACTGAGGGGAAAAAGAAACATTATGGTTGTCAAACATTGTTCCTCATTAACATAAAATAACGGTAGAGAGGAGAAAATCGGAGAATTAAAGTCTTGCGTTGACGATAAGGAATCAGTGAAATAGGAATAAAACCAATGCTCCTGCACATACCCCTATTTCCTTAAGGTGTTGCTTAGGACCGATTCCAGACAACATCAGTATCTGGGGTGAGTTAACGGCACCTCCTGATAGTATCACTTCCTTATTAGCGTAAACTTTTACTTTACGATTTCCTCTTATCAGCTCCACTCCAACTGCCCTCTTGTTCTCTATGATAACCTGTAATAAGATTTTTCAAATTATTAGATTACGTCATACTTATTTTCATGAAAATATAACAAAATGCTTCTGTATTCGAATGAGACGCACTTGATATAGCGAAATTTTAGTATGGCGTTTTCATCACACGTACTACATTCAGTAAGCTGAAACAACATTAAACTTGAGAAATACTAGTATTTATAAGAGTTCGTGTTACATTATTGTTGTATTTACCTTAGTAACAAATGCTCGCGTTGCTACCTGTAAGTTTGGCCTTGACATAACTGGCTTGAGGAAAGCTTGATATGTGCTCCACCTCACGCCGTTGTGTATTGTGGCTTGCATCCTGCAAAATCCTGATGTCATAAAAACAAAGTGATGCAGAAGATGTTATCGCTGTTGATGTGTGATTTAATGAATGCTTGGCCACATTACCAAGAGGTTGTAGAGACATTTATTCAGCGCTATGAATCTTTATCAAATTTGCATTACATGAGGTCCTGCTTTGTAGTTATGAAGACAGTAGAATGAAAGATGGAAGGAAATTCGAAGAAAATCTAAAATTGCTACATTAGAATAACAATATTCTATTGTCTATTCAATAACAGCAAATCAAGGTTAGAACACCAACAATATTCACGATTAATACAAAAAATCAGGGTCCTGTATTGATGGGAATATATGGTGGGAAGAAAAAAAAAGAAATTTACCTCATAAAGGTGATGCGGGAAGAAAAGAATTACAAAAAAATATGCTCTACGGTATTAGCGATTTATGTTACTGTTGTTAATATTGTGATAGCATTATTTCAAGTTAGAGATATGAACGAGTAGGGAGCCCTTTCTGAAACAATTCGCCACCCTTTCTCCCGATCAATACGGTGTTTTTGTAACCTACTACGCATAGATACTTATAAAATGTTCCTCTCCATATACATAAATTGACACAAATATTACTATGATGGATATCTGATTAAAACAACGAAAAAAGAGGTTTGGGGTCAGGGGTTAGCTCAGTCGGTTGAGCATCAGACTTTGTTATTTGGGGTGAAGATCCGAGCTGTGGCTCGTTCATACACAAGTATGCAGGGAAGTTTGTACCCACCAGGAAGCTAAAATTATGAACCACCATGTGCTGTAATGGCTATGCAGTTGGGCGAACAATTCACCCTAATTGCATTTGATGTGTTTTCCACATTGTGTTCTTTGGCATTGACTTTCGACAAAAGTTTGAAAGGAAGGAACATCTAAACCATAGAGAAAACACAGACAAAGACTTGAATTTATAAGTCAGTAAATATTTTGTTGGACCGGTTGGTTTCTACGATAACCAAGACTACAGACAGCACAACACGGTTTATTGGGAATGTCCACTAAATCAACCAGAAACGAGGCTTCACTATAGGATATACCAGAATGTTCATACACAGTAGGCTGTGCTATAGTGTATATCATACATATGCACTCATTGAATAACAAGGCATGTATCTTTAGGACGATTGTAAAATACTAAAGTGTTGTTTAGTGCTTGTTTCATACCTATTTGATCCTCTCCGTTACAGTCAACTAAGTTGTAACCCAGCTGTTGTCCAGCCTGGATGTATTTCTCCTGCAGAATAGTCTGTGTAGGACCAGTAACATACAGTGGTCCATCCTTCCCATGATATTCTGAAAAAATAGAGAAAAAAACATAGTGTACCGAAATACACACAAGAATAATACATTATAATGTCATATCTTCATCATTTTTGCATAGAATAAAAATTAGGTAAGTGCTAAGATGTGTATCCACTTTCCGAAAGATTTCAAAAAAAAAATTTGGACAGGTATATCTATATACTCTGTAATATGTATCCACTTAGGGGTTCGAAAGATTTTTTTAAAATTTTGGACATGTATTGCATTTATATATATATATAATACGTCCCATCACATTTCCTGGCATCCATGTAAAAATGGCCAAGTTTGTGATGCTGCTTTTCCACCAAATAATCTTTGAACACTTTAGCGGCCAACTTATTAGCTTTTAACGTCTTGCGTTAAGTGCCAGGCGTTTTTTTTCCTTGTCTGCAGCTGTCGTCTTTTTTTGATCCGAGTCAAATAGGTGCTTCGTGTAGGGGAAACAACTCGTACAAGATAATAGCAACTTCTAGGATTCACTCTAGCCAATATTCCGACACGGAACAGAATGTGAATATCGCCAATCTGTGATTTGAAATTACGAAGTGACGCCTATAATGGATGGCGGCCATTGCCCCCTATATATTCAGCTGCCCCCTTAATTTAGCCAACGTCCAATCAGATCAATGCATTCTAGTCCGAGGTGCAATAATGAAGTATGTGATGTGCACCTTGCCTCTTAATTGACGTTTTTTTTTTATTATTATTATTTACAAATTTGGCAACAACATATTTGAGATATAAGTATGTAGTCGGCTGTCATTAAAGCCGTCTTTCAAGTACAATTTATAACAAATAATTTCAGCCGTAAATATTTTCTTCATCCAAATCCAGGATTTGACGAATGTCCTGTTTTATTTTGCCCAGATTTTTATATATTTTCTGAGTATGCCAATGCATATACACTGAACTTGTTTAAAGATAGGTTTAAAGATGCTCTTCGTTAGCTGAATGTAAATTATTTATATGTAAAACGTTATCATGGTAAGGAAGAGAGAAAAAATGACTAGGCCAGTTTGTCTGATTTTCCCTCGAGGTTAAAACTTAAAAGAGATCTTACGATGTTGATCAGATGAAACAGGCTAAATCATATGATGCAGAACATTTTCATGGAGATGTGCAGTACGAACTAATAGCGTACAGTGAAATGCCTGATTTGATTATTGGAGTTTAAATTTGGTTTTCACACATTGCTCCAAAAGTGAACAATCTGTGGACTGTATACTTTTCAGGGTTGACTGAAGTATCAGGTTTGTATTGCCAGTGTGAAATTGGTACCAGAATACCCACATTGCATCTGCTCAATGGTACATTTCGTGAACGTCATCACCTTGGTATAGTTCGTCCAACTGCCTCATTAGGCTTGATTGTGTGCATGATGCGATGATGATCCGACTCCGGTATTGACCATGAACGAACTGTACCTGATCACATCACCAATACACAATGATAGGGGGGCTATCGTATTCCCATTGACAGGAAGCACCTTTCTTTTTTGAAATGTGTGAAAATACTGTACTGTACAGGTAAATGATTTGTCCGAATCATGAGGTGTCAATGACTGTCCTATCATAGTTTACGGTCATGAAAAAACTTTAATACCTCGAATTATAAAACTTCGATTCTTAAGGAGGTAAGTAAGTAGTAATATATATGAATAAAATAAGGGCCTGGACAAAAACTTCGATACACCGGTACATCCGAATCATCGAAGTTCGATTAATAGATGTTTTATTGTACTTCAGAACCAGCCTTCACTGATTTTATATTTATATCGTGTTTATATCAGCACTATTTCAAAGTCCTCTTATTATACCGGTAATTACACTATTATAGATACAAATACGCATTTATACATGCATTTCAGATTTTATTCCGCCAGTGAAAAATCTTGTATATGCTGTCCGCACATCAACACTTCGCAATATATGACGGAGTTATTTAAGATTCAAATTTGCTGATTATAAACTTTTTGATTTCTAATTCATTTTTTTTCTTCGTGTCATATTTCGAAATGGACCAAGAGCCATTCATAAAGTTTGATAGTATAAACTATTAATATATTCTCAACAAAAAAGAAAGGTTAACATGTTTCCTTGGCGAATACCTGTAAATGAGTGAAAACACAATGACGTTTGTGCAATATTAGAAAATGGTAATGTTTTACATTACAAAATCCAAGGGGGTTACCAAAATCATTCAAGCGTGAGAGTCTGTATTAGCGAAAGAGCTGCACGACGTTTTCTGCGACTAACTTGTATCTTCGCATGAATTTCATAAACATTAAAACTGACAACTGTTCCTTAGATCCTTAGGACTTAGAAATCACCGAATCTTGCTATCTATCAACTTTATCATTATTCCCCGGCTGTCTCAAGTACAGAGAGAAAGGGCTGTAGGCATGATCCAGGCTGGGGAATCTCGCCGTCGAGTTGCACGGTATTTTGGTTGCAGTGTTAAGACAATTTGCCAGTTGGTAAGTCGTTTAAACCAAACTGAGTCAACATCCGATCGTCCCCGAAGCGGTCGACCCCGTAAAACGACCGCCAGGGATGACCGTCGTATACGATTGATACACTTGCGCAATCGATTCGTAACCGCAGTAGAGACTACAAGGACATTACATGGGCGTCGTGTGTCTCCCCAAACATTCCGCAACAGGTTGAGGGCCTACCAATTGAAAGCGCGGCGTCCCTACGCTGGACCCAATTTGTCACCGTAATAATCGACGTAACTGGACCCGTGTTCACCGTCGTTGGGCCTTACGACAATGGAACAATGTTCTGTTTTTAGATGAGTCCAGGTTTTGTCTGCAACACGGTGACGGAAGACGCAGAATGTGGAGGCGACGAGGGGAGCGTTTTGCGAACTGCTGCGTCGCAGAACGGGACCGCTTTGGTGGCGGAAGTGTAATGGTTTGGGGTAGTATTTGTGGGGGGACTCGTACTAGGCATTCTTAAGACGCCATGGCGTTGGCGCCATTTTTCAACAGGATAACGCACCAGCGCACACCAGTCGCATCAGCAGAACTTTCTTGCAGCAGAATAACGTACAGGTGTTAGATTGGCCATCTAAATCACCTGATTTGTCACCGATTGGATGACGCGTGAGAGAACGTCAAAATCAGCCGTCAAACTTACAGGAGCTGGCCCAAGCCTTAATCGCTGAATGGAACAACATCTCTCCTCGAATTATCCGCCGGTTTACGAGTTCCATGCGACGACGCTGCAATGCTGTTTACTTCGCAAACGGTGCCCATACCCGTTACTAATGGTGTTACCTTTGAAATTGACCCCAACGTCCTTTACAGTCGAATAAAATCAACTGAACGCGAAGTTTTATATTTATACTTAATGTCCGTACACCATCATTAAACCGCCAGCATGACGTAAAATAAATACACTGATTGATGCATAGTCAAAAACTTACTCGAAGTTTTAAACTCAGGGATTTCCACGTTTTCCGATTTTATGAAGTAAGGGAGGACATCTTTGTAGCTCCATCCATCACATCCCTCATTTGCCCAGCTGTCAAAGTCATGGCGATTTCCTCTCATGTACACCATCCAGTTTAGTGCACTACTTCCACCAAGAACGTGTCCACGTGGCCAATAACTCCTCTGAGGGGATGAAGTCATACATATTCGATTGTAACACGTTCTATTATCATCCAGTCTACATTATTACAATGTGAAAATTTGGTTTTACAGTGTTATAAAATATGTTATTCCATTCACGAACTTGAACATGATTCTATACGATACGGCCTTGACATACTTCTTTTCAAGAAGTTGGACATTATGATAGTTCGTTTTAATGCCCAACATTTATTTTCATCCTTTAAAAAGGAAACATGTATCTTAATTGACAAAGATGAAAGATGTTTTACTGCATTCAATTATCCCTTTTTGCATGTATTTTGTTTTTGTTTAACTACAAGGTTTTATATCTGATTGTCAATTAAGAGGAAACCAGTTAAGTGTTGACAGAAATTAACACGGGATTTAGAAATTCGCAAAAGAATCAAGGATGACACAAGTTACAGTACTGGATGCTTAATGTTGACAATACCTGTATTGCTTACTTACATTTTCGTTCATGGCCTTACAGGCATTCTTCTGAGGAACTGTATAATACCTCCAATCCTGTTCTGTTTCTTGCGTGTCAACAGCGGCAACAGGCACATCAATCAAAGGATTCTCCTCTGGCTGACCACCCGCCTCCAGTAGAAGGACGCTAATGTCCTTGTCCTCTGATAGTCGGGAAGCTATCACAGACCCCGTAGACCCGGCACCAACTTTACCGTAAACATAATTAGTTGCGATATAAAAGAGAACATCAATTGCTAAAATATCTACATGCTTATCCTTAATACATTTAATTCTAATGAGCAAGTTTGTGTTATCAGAACCTCGAATTTCTGTACTAAAAAGCTAATTTTTTCATTCCGACAGAATATATCATCTTTTTTTGCTAAAGGAATTTATGTTACTAGTTCGTATATAAGACACATGTTTAACATTTCTATACCCATCAAATTATCAATTAAACGTTTCTGTAAAATAAAGGCTGCTGGGATCACCTGAAGATAAATGACAGGTCACAGACGGAAGTTTGTATAGTGTTACAGTATAAAAACCTGGACAGTATGAAAACCCACCCAGTCATATCATACTGACAACCGGTTAAACACTCCTTCTGCGCTCAATGCTCGTCGCTGAGCATTCAATGGATCACAAGATACCACTTTAACAATTTTAGTATGTCATGGTTTCAGGACAGAAACCGAAGCATTCCTCAACTTTGCGGACACTTAAAGTCGAGTCCACATTCAGAGTAGAAAACTTTTACTCGACTTATGTAATGCTTACGTAATTATTGCAAACATTTATCATCCTGACTGCCTGACGAAAAACAAATAAAACAAGCGACAAACAGGTAGTTATTGACAACTTACCAATGATATAGTCATATGTCTTGTTCAGCACAGTGGTGGACAAATCAGTCTTTTGATACGACCCCCAGTAATAGGCCACGGCCGCCATAATGGCTACAATCACAGCTAAAGACACTCGAGCCATACTAACGCTGGTATCGCTCAGATACGATATCAGATGATGACTTCTGCTCAGTTAAGATGTGTTCCTGCGTATAATTGCATAAACTTAATAACTGCGTTCATCAGAAGTGTATAACAAGTGTAAACAACTAAATAAAATATTCAGAAGCAATGTCCTGCAGTGTTGGTGCATCACATTATATAAGAATTTTGCAGCAAGTCCTTGATCTGTTGACTCGTTGTTGGGTACAGCTGCAGAACTATACTATAATATTTCATAACACGTTTAATTTATTATTGGTATGTCTATCCATGTACCATGTTAAGAGCATTCATATCATTCAACGCGACATATGATATTATTCCTCAGTTTTACAAAGCCTCATTCCTGATTCATTGAAAGGTTATTGGAGAGGTTTTTGGGTGATGTAATTTCGAGTCGGTACGATGAAATGGTATAGATGTTTTTGCTCTCTACCGTGGATTGTATTTGGTCATAGGGTACATAAATCGATTTTGAAACCACGATAAGAAATTCTAGCTTTAGTATTTGTGTCAACTACTATGGCCATTTAATGTCGGCCTCTTGGTAATTGCAAGTTGTTTGTATGTGTGGAGTGGGAGGCTGCGATGTGTTCGATCTGCAGCCGACTATTTGGCGATATAGCACTGACTCAAATTGACGAAGGCTTCCATAAAGACGTCCAGTCACATTATGATACTAAACCATAGTCCAATGCAGCTTAATTTTATCTAATTCGTATTTGGGGAAAGCAATTGATGAGGTTCCTAAAATATAAATAAAACAAATACGTATGCTAATGGAGGAGGATTGATATGGAGGGTCTTTGTGTGAGTATTCTACAAGATGTATTTAAAGTCTATATGGTTATGGCAACCAGTGGTGACATTAACGCTGAAATCTTGCAGATGAACACAACAAACATTTCGGGATCACTACAGTAGTGCTTTATCTCCGAACAGCATCGATGCCCTTTGTGTTTGGATGTGCTCTAGAGATTTTAGACATGACACAATTGATATATATATATATATATATATATAATTAAGTTAAGGTTATAAAACAAAGGTTCAGGTCACGCCACTAAAATTTGAATTTGTTTAGTTCACTGCAGTCTTACTAAAAGGAAAATTGAATTGCAACACTTTAGAACCGTGTCACCTATTTTTCATCTTAGTGTACATGTTGCTAGAACAATAAACAACATATATCCTTAGGCATACATTTCGTCATATGTAGTCAGGGATTCCCCACTCTGCGTTGCTCTTATTAACAAATGGATTTCCTAGCCTGGCGTAGAGTACACAACACATGTTATGGCGGGTTATAATATCATACCTTGTTGTGGGAGGTAAGTGAATTATTCCACAGCAGACGCATTAAGTTTTTGTAGGTACTTATTTATATATATATATACATCAGGTTGCTACTTTTGTATTGTACTATACATGTGTTCCTACAACATTTTTGATGTTGTATACCAAGACATACGAGTGATGAACACATTTAGACAACCTCTTAACCTACAATTCTACATAATGTTGCTGAACGTTTAATATCACCCCAAACTACTTACCCCGATATAATCCCAGGTGCTCCGCTTTAACCTTGTGACTATTTATATACTATTTTCACCAACATACAAACCGACACTTCTTTACACATCAACGACCTCATATGTCCAAGGGTTCACAGTAAGCAAATTAACTGTCCCATATAATAACATGTATACTGATACGCGTTTTTTTTAAATTTGGAGGTGTTGTACGTGTGTGTTATCATGTGCAAACATTATGATAGGTGTCGCCGTATGGTTCAATGTCGACAAATTTCGTATGAATGTCATGTAGACACACGTGTATATACGGGGGGTGGGGGGTGTCATTTAGACACACATGTATGTACGGGGGGGGGGGGGGGGGTTCATTTAGACACACGTGTATATACGGGGGTTGTAGGTATAGCTATATCAATATCTACCGTGTATAACCATCGAAGTTGACTGAATCCCGAATTAACATGTGTCTATTACTGTACGGCTTCCTATATAACTTGAGTATACCTTTGTGTATACTTTCTTTACACACACACACGCGCGCGTATATGACACAAATCGTTCACGCATGGATGAGTTTAAAGCAATTGTAGAAAATCATGAAGGAAAATGGTGTAGTACTTTAATGTGTCGTGCCTACAACTGTGCGATAGAATCACACATTTTGTAAATAGCGCTCACATGAACATTAAAACTGAACGTTGTGTAGTGTGTATGATTCGTTTAGTACTGGTCTGGGAATTTGGGGAAGGGCGATAATAGGTATAGAGTTATAGGTATTTGTGTAAAATAATTTAAAATTATTTCATTAAGTCAATAAGTATGGAAGGTAACCCAATCATTCTTCTAGGATTTTAAGTCGAGTTGCAAGTCCCGTAGGAAAAGAATGAGTGCAGGACTCAAATATCAGAGTCCCAAAATCATTGCAACGGTCTTTACAACTTACCCAAGCCCTTTTCCTTAATAATTACATCACATGATGTTGATAGAAATTCACATTGATGGACTAAGACAATAAGAGAAATATCTAGGATACATCAGCAACTCTTCGAACAGTTGGATATTGAAGATGTCTGGAGTACCAGAGATGACTTTCTTTCATGTCATTTTCGTATGTCAACATTTAGTGTTACAGGCTGTTGACGACTGGTCAGGAAATACCTGTTTGAAACAAACCCAGTGCGAGAGTCATTGTTTTCTGAAAATGAGTCAAATTGATTCCTGAATGAGCTGGTCACGAAATACTTGGAAAGTTTGATATATGTGAAAAAATTATTATACAAAAATGTATCTGTGTTGATTTCTAAAACTGATCATGTTGCACAATTTAATATAAAAGATACAAGACTGTAATTTCATTGTGTTATTGGCATCTTCACTAGAATTACAGTCAGTGTAAGACTTGTTCTCCCCTTCCGTGTTATGTGGGTTTGACAGGGGACCTCAACACTTCTGAGAAAATTATTAAGCTCCCAAACACGACACAAGGTTCGTATTCGACAATTTAGAAATTTTCCAATTCTGATTGAGATCCCCTGTCTCACTGTCTCTTCATTCCTAGACTCTTCAGTACTGTGTAATAACATAAGATTTTTAGGAGTCGGATAACCCAACGACTCTTAATAGGCGCTGTGCTGGCAAAGAATTTGTTCCTTTTTTAAAAATTCAATATTTATCTTAAAAGACGCGTAGTTTTCACAATCTAAATATACTCTAAGCTTGCACAATTTAGATAAGCACTAAGCGTGAACTATCGAAATAGGCACTAAGCGTGCACTATCGAAATAGGCACTAAGATTGCACAATCTAAATAGGCACTAAGCTTGCACTATCAAAATAGGCACTAAGCGTGCACAATTTAGATAAGCACTAAGCATGCACTATCGAAATATGCTCTAAGCTTGCACAATTTAGATAAGCACTAAGCGTGCACTATCGAAATAGGCACTAAGCGTGCACTATCGAAATAGGCACTAAGATTGCACTATCGAAATAGGCACTAAGATTGCACTATCGAAATAGGCACTAAGCGTGCACTATCGAAATAGGCACTAAGCGTGCACTATCGAAATAGGCACTAAGATTGCACAATCTAAATAGGCACTAAGAGTGCACTATCGAAATAGGCACTAAGCGTGCGCAATTTAGATAAGCACTAAGCGTGCACTATCGAAATATGCTCTAAGCTTGCACAATTTAGATAAGCACTAAGCGTGCACTATCGAAATAGGCACTAAGCGTGCACTATCGAAATAGGCACTAAGATTGCACTATCGAAATAGGCACTAAGCGTGCACAATCTAAATAGGCACTAAGATTGCACAATCTAAATAGACGCTGAATATGCACAATCTAAACAAACGCTAAGCTTGCACACTCTAAATAGACGCTGAGCTTGGACAATCTTAAAAGACGCTAAACTTGCACCATTTAAATACACGCTAAACTTGCACAATCTAAATAAATGCTAAGCTTCCATAATCTGAGTAGAGGCTTAGCTTGCACAATCTGAATAGAGGCTGAGCTGCCCAATCTAAATAGAAGCCGAGCCTGCACAATCTAAATCAGTTCAGTTCAGTTTATTTACTTTAAACCTTACGGTGTATCAAACAACAAACATAGGAAATACATAACACACAGCACACACAGACCACGTACACAGGATCAAAGTGTAGAGAATAAGTCCATATATCTAACTCTACACATATAAATTAAATTAATGTCTTAAACATTATTTATTCTCCTTTTGTTACTAATACTTGTAAATTTTCCTAAATTCGACAGATCTTTAGTATTTTCTGTTTCCAAAAGTTGTATAAATTTTGCCATACTTGGTTTCGTATAGTAATACTTTTTAATAAAACGTTTCCTTATATCTTTATAATGTTTTTATAATTCTTGATATATCATTACGTTTGTGTACTTTTCTTAACCCTAAGATTCTCTTTCAAAAATTTACATGTAACTTTTCCATATCTGACGCCTTATGGAAACCCCAAACTTCAGATCCATAGTTCAGTATGCTACATACGAAAGTGGCAAAAACGCTAAGTTGAGTTTCAATATTGAAATAATTTTTCTTACAAATGTTTGTTATACCAAATAATGCCTTCCTTCCTTGCTCAGCTATATTCTGTTGCGTCAAATTGAATTTACCATTAAATTCCATCATTATTCCAAGATAATTAAAACTATCAACAGTTTCTAACAAACTACCAGTATAAAACCATTTATCTGTCTCCTTCAACTTACCACCATTTCTGAAAACCATCACTTAAGTTTTGTTAACATTTACAGTTAAATTCCATTTATTAGTATATTGTAATAATGAATCCAACATTTTTTGCAATCCTTCTGCCGATTCAGCTAATAATATCATATCATCTGCATACATTAATAAAAATAGATTAATAGTTTGAAGTTCAGTTGAAGGACAATTTTCTGTTAAAAAGTGCATCTCACAATCGTTAATATATACGGAAAATAAAATCGGCGACAT